ATGTTTTCATTTATTACTAATGTCATTTAGATGGAGTTTTTGTGATATTTTTAACAAAAATTAGTTATTGTCATTAAGTCTTATTTAAACAGATAGTCTATTCATGATGTGATCTCGCTAAAGGTGTGTTTGATTATTATAATAAGAAAAATTTATACTGGTTCTTGTCTTAGCGCCGTGTGCATTGTTTCAGGGGTTTCTTGTGCATATGTTATAGATACATAATACATATGTATAACTTTCCCAATTCTAACAATCATAATAGAAATCTTTTTGTTCTCTAAAAAAAAAATAGATTTCTTATTTTAAATAATATATATATTCGTTCTATTTTTTTTTTTTTTAATTAACATTGAATACTTGTTTTGTAAATTAGTATCCCTGTAGACGAATGAAAATACATATTACATATACTGTAATAAGAATCGCACTATTTGTCAATTAGCAAATAACAAATTCTACTTTTATTTGACCTTTTTATCTTTGATGAGTACAAATCAAATCGTGAATGCAATAATTATATATTGATCACTAGAAATGCTTAGACAAGCATAAAGAAATATCTTTTACTTTCAACTTACGTTATATTGTATGTGAACTGTAAATTGAACAAAGATATTCTTCAGAACACCGTTATCGCTTCAAGATTCCTCTAAAATTAATTAACAGTGACACTATTTCGACAACATTTTTTAAGCAAATGAGTCCATTAATTGTCTATGTATATTAAGCTTATTTATAGTTTGATGAACATTACAATATAAAAATGAAAATAAAGAAATGAAATATTAATTAATTTTTAATCTTTTTAAAAAAATATCCATTACTCGACTCTAGTTCTGACGACGTTGGTAGTGTAGCGATTACACACTGTCACATTTTCCAATGGTTACGGATTCGATCCATTTAAATCGGTCTCAGTATTTTGTATTTGGTAAAAAAACATAACGTACCTGCCGGGAAGCAGTTGTTTTCATGCCTGTGTTTCGGTTTGAATGGTGAGATATAGCAGTGAAATTATAGAGTACAAGGGCATAACACCTTAATCCTCAGAAACGGCAACGCATGAAGGAGATCTTGAGTGACACAGTATACTCTATTATGTCCGTGGTGCTGTTCATATCCATAAACGCCGGTTATCACTTTCCAATAGGTAAACCGTCCGCTTGTTTGCTATTCTATGTTGCACAAAAGAATTACAAAATAAAATTAAGTATTTTTGTCAAATGTCTAGTACCTCTCTTTCTTTTTGGCCTTAATTTTATATGTTTAGCGGTATTTATTGATTTATGATCTGTAGGGTAACATTGACACAGTGCAGTTAGATCGATAATATCAATTATTACTCTTTCAGTCTAACCAAATCACAATAAACGTTGTGATAACGTCACACTGCGCGGTCACGTGCTCCATTTAGTATGAATAAACAATAAAGTTTATGAAACTTTTGAATAACTCATTAAATATTTTTGTCATGGAATTTTATAAAAATGTAATAATCGTATGTCGTCAATTTGTAATTATAAGCCATTGTTATGTCTGAAGCACAATTATTAATTGCGACAATTGTGTTTATTGGAAGCCAGTCTAATGAAAGATTCGTGATATATATATATATATATATATATATATATATATATAAAATAGATAAACTGTACAGATAGTGTATGTTTTGTTATTATGTTTAATTGTACCCACATTGCAGTCTCTATTCGAGGGATTTCACTGTTTTTATTAATATTTGAAACATGTAACGGTATGTTTCACGAGAATTAAATATCGAGAAAAACTATAATTTTTATTGAATTTGATTTTATATTTTTTCCACTTGTGTAAATAATATAAAATTAAATTCGTCCTATAAAATAATTAATTAATATTTTTTTAAAATCGTAATTATTGTAATTGTATTCATTTTCATAATATTTTACAATGTTCCTGTACAGGTATAAACAGTTACAATACAAAGTTTATACAGGTTTATAAACCATCCTACCATGAATGTATCAATATGTATTAGTATAACTACTAACGACAACTGATTTATAGATATTAATTTTATTGCTGCTATTGTTTATTATTATAGAAAAGTCATAATGAAAAAACTTACGTAAAAACTAGACAGCATTATTTTACATAATTAATATAATATTAGTAAAATATATAAATCTTATGACATTTATGGGGTATTGTCCTACAGTTGAATTGGGACAGGAAATTGTTAGAATTAAATCTCAGGTACACCTTTTTTTATTCTTTCTGATAAGAACAGAATATAGCTTCATTGTATGTCTATTTTATATTATGGCGATTTCTTCAAGATTTCTAGGCGGTTTTGCATTATTTTTTTACTGACGGCCTTAGTCGCAGAATATTTGGTGGAGTAACACACTACTGCGATAGTTGCAGGTTTTGTGTTGATAACATTTTTTCTTTTTATTCTTTAAAGTCATGTCTAAATAATTATCAATAAAGTCTAATTCAGTTATTACAGCATAGATAATTCTATCATTATCTATGTCATTATGTTGTTTATGAATTGAATATTGAGAATTTAGGTGCGGATAGCATATTAAGGTATATTTATTTTGTCTTCCTAATTTCACATCACAAATTATAGTTTCAATACATTGTATAATAATTTGCACTTTTATCAATTGCATCGAACAATATTTACAATCATAGTTACAGCTGTCTAAATAATAACGAAACAGTATGTTACAATACAATATAGTAATCAATTTGTATGCAGATGTTAATGTTCTAGATATAAGATCCTATTTGTGTACTTCGAATATTTTTTTGTATGAATCACGTTCTTTAAAATTATAGTCTAAATGTATATATCAAAGGTTGGTAAAATATATCCAACGTGTAAAATTTATATGCATTATTATCCTATTCCTAAATTTAAACATAATACTTACTGTAAGTTAAAAAAAAATTCAAGTATTTTTTTATTTAGCTATACTTTATGATTATATCTTATTGATTTAAACATACAAAACAAAACATACTACGTACTAGAAGGTATATACATTATGACAGAACATTCTAAAAGAATAATCCCTAGAAATATCGCATGTAGAGCGCAAAATATGACTTTTCATGAAATCAACATCAGAAATGAGAAATTTCCCAGTTGGACGATAATTTTTGTGTATATTTTAAACAATACCTCTGTCAATTGTGAACTAACTTTCTTTACAATCTATCAATTCGAGTTTCACATCCCTGTTGGAGCTATGCTAATGTTAGCATGTCTGAACTCAATTTATTAAGTTAAATTAAGTATTGGTTGTATTACTTAAATTATATTATTTGCTTTCTTATATTCAGTTTTAATATATTTCGTAGCATTCAGAAATCTTCGAGGTGAACCACCTTTCATTTTTTCAAGATTCCCATATTACACTTCCTTGATATAAAATCGTGTATTTTATTTTAAATTTTGTCAAATAATGAACCCAAATCGTATATGATTACTTTTGCACATGGTCACAAGTACATATTTTGTATCATTATTATTTAAAACTTACCAAAAACAATAAAACGTCCATGTTCAAGGAACATCTCACCATTATTTATACTAGTATTTAAATTAAAACGATGCATTTATAAGTCGTACCATAAAACTTTTGTGATTAATATAACGTCAATTTTATAATGTCAATTCTTCACATGGTTATAGGAATCCTAATTATTTTATACTTATCAAATACAATGCCCATGCTCGAATGTAACCGCTAGGGTTGTTAATTATTACTTCTATTACTAATTAAATGAAACAATAAGATTAAAACTGCATTAACAAGTCATAACCTTGGTATATGATGAATGTGATGGAAACTTTTGCAATCACAACTTTTTACATAATTACGTTACAATAATAAATTTACCAAATATAAAATGAGTAAAATGTCCTTGCTCAAGTGTATCCGCTAGACCACTAGGGTTGTTAACCATTGTTTGTATCATTAATTAAATGCGACAATGAAATCACAACGATGCATTGATAAGCCGTACCATTGAACGTCTGTATGAGGGAAACGAGCGTGACAAGTTACCAGACGGACGGTCGCGGCCGCTGCCCACCGCAGGTTTCATATTACACGTGTCGTGAATATAAAAATACACTATGTACCTACTCATATTGCCGACATAAGTGTAATGATGTACGCCAACCGTCTGTCTGCTCGTTAAGGCCATTCCATGTCACACGTGAAATGGCAATCATTGTAAATAGGTAATTACACATTACACTCATGTAGAAAGGTATTGCATTTGATTCTCATTCATTAAGTAACTTTATGATAGGTATATTTCAATAGTGAAGTCACCGTTACCATCGCTCTGTACTTGTACTATTATTTACCGTTGGCGTAGTATCTTACCTCTATTGATTCCCACTTGCTATCTCCCTTGTATAACAGGGCTTGCTTCATGTATTCGATATATTTTTATTTTATTTTTAAAACGGTGTTAATTCACGCTTGTTCATTCATCTCTATATATTTAGAAACTTTCGTATTTCTGTATAACTAGAACAGTAAGATATCAATTGTCTTTAATAATCAGACTTTCCACAACCAACACCCCAAGAAGGCAGTCGACAATCAACGATTATTGCACATTGGCTGCGATAACGTATAATCCGATAAAAAACTAGTTACAATACTCAAAAACCCAGATCTTGCACAATGTTTATTAAACAACTGATACTTAAATATTTTTTATTAGTACTTACAATACATGGAAGATAGCCAGACCTTTATAAATAGTTTATTATATAAATACAAATAAAAATGTTTATATTATTTAAGAATTGAACCCAGAACCATCAAATGATGTAGAACCGCTATACCTACGCCGTCATGTGACATAACATTAACTCCATTATAATTATTGTTGTTATTGTTAAGATCATTATCCATAAAATAGGTTTAATAATCTAATGCAGAAATAAATGCTAATAGATAATTAATGTACTATTGTTGCAGGTGGAAAAACCTGTTACAGAGGGTCTTTCCCATAGAACACGCGATCAGTGGGAGATTGATCGCTCTTCATTGAAGTTTGTGAAGAAATTAGGACACGGACAGTTCGGTGAAGTATGGGAGGGCCAGTGGAACAATACTACTCCCGTCGCCATCAAAACCCTAAAGTCCGGCACCATGGATCCCAAGGACTTCCTCGCCGAGGCACAAATCATGAAAAAGTTACGACACAACAAACTAATCCAATTGTATGCTGTCTGCACGCTAGAAGAACCTATTTATATCATCACAGAATTGATGAAGAATGGATCCTTGCTTGACTATTTGCAAGGTAAATATTAAGTATTATTTCACTGAATTATTAAGCAGTACCCTGTTATAAAAGTTTCCAATAATTTTAATTTCTAAATGGTTTTTATACCATTTATGATATAGATAGCTAGACAATTATTTTTTTATTATTGTGGATGGGCAGCAATCAAAATTCAACCCACGACCTCTGATATTTTAAATTATAACGACATAAAAGAAACGAAACGAATTAATCAGCCATCAAATCTTCAGACCAGTCCTTCCAAGCAACACTCGCTCACGAGTAAAGATTCCTATCTCACCAATGGAAACGATAACTGTTCTGCATTTGTGGGAACCAATTCGGATATATCATTGATAATGTATTTCTTGCAGTTCGGGCGACTTTTCCTCTTTTTTATGTGTATTGCTTTATGTTAGTACTTATATTTATATTCCCTTATTATTGCATGTACTCAACTATACTCCAACATTCATTTAATATATCACAGAAATAAAAAATAATGATATTTCGAAACAGTTGAAAAAATGTCTAGAATGCTAAATTTCTGGTTTTTTTATGGGTGAAAATGGTATGGTAACTCCGCCTGCACTAACGGTATACGCTTGCGGAGCACCAGTGAAGGGTGATAGATGAGAATGAAAACAGGCCAGTTAGCCCATCATGATGAATTCATCAGGAATTAACCATGATAGTTTCCAGGGAGAACCGCGAGGATGTCGACCTGGTTGGGTATATTGCTAGCAATGGGATTCTCAGTCTCCATTACTAACAATCCCTTTCCCCCCGCTAATTTTCAGGTTAGGAACTATTATAATCTATCTAAATAACTGTTACTAACGACAGGTCTAGAGTGATCGCTCCAGTGGATAGATTTCTAGATGATTAGATTTAGACCATCAGATGAGCCGCATGCTCGTTTGTACCCTGTATTGTAAAAAAAAAAATCCATAGACCAGACTGATGCCTATGGCCCCTTACCCTGTAATTTCACTACCATATCTCACACCTTGAAATCGATACAATCCATTCTCTGTTTATATAACTAAATTTTCTTATAAACTCATATTATTATTGGTATTTCAAATATTTACACAACAAGAATACATATCAAATACGAATAATATCTATCTATATTGTTCCACAGGCAAAGGTCGTGGTTTGAAACTGCAACAGTTAATCGACATGGCGGCGCAGATCGCCGCAGGCATGGCGTATCTTGAGTCGCAGAATTACATCCACCGCGATTTAGCCGCCAGGAATGTACTTGTGGCCGATTCTAATGTCGTTAAAATTGCTGATTTTGGGCTCGCCAGACTTATAAAGGTAAATATTAAAACGTCTCATTTCTCCTTATGTAAGTTCCAACAGTTCCAAAATAGTATTGGACTTATTTATTGTTTAAGTCAAATTTAATTCAACTACAAAATCAATGAATGTGGAAACATGAGCTCACTTGAAAATATTTTCAATTGCGGCTGTGTTTCTTTAATTGACGGTTTATAAGATTTTGTAACATGTCCAGGGCAAATAAGTTAATGGATCTGATGGTAGTTATTTTAGCAGATATTTTGTTTAAAGTGACAAAATTTATGGTTGTAAATAAAACAGTCCCAAAATTCAATTAAAATTAAAATGGTATATAATTTTTATAGCTGACCCGACAGACATCGTTCGGTTCAATATTTGATTGAAATATTTGAATTGGCGGCTAGGGACAATTTGTATCGTGAAAGAAAAATTGTTCTTTAATGTTTTTTCGGACAATTTTTCCAATATTTTCCTCGCAAGAACCTTCCTTGGACTTTAAAGAATAATTGGGAAAAAAAGAATCCTCTCGAGTCTGTCCTTGCAACGAATTATACAAAGTTTCAGCTATCTTTACTACCAGTACCACCAATAAATAATTAAAACACCCGACTTGGTTTCTACGTCATCTCACTTTCACTTTTTCTGTATGTTAAATAACAAATAATTTAGCGGCTTTAAATTTCGAAATAATCCTGAAGAACAAATAGATTAGAAATAATTTGATGTTATATTGCTAGATTCTAGATTCCAACATCTATTGCATGTTTTACTGTTGCATATTTCGCTATCTCATATCGTCTTCCTACCCTTATCCCTATTATTTTATGGGGTCGACGGGTTCCTCTTCCATTCGTCTCTATTCGCAGTCATTTCGCCATCTTATACAATAAAAATAAATAAGCTCGCAACTATAATCCCTAATGACCCAATTAGTCGTATCCCAAGAAAAACATAAAATTAATGACTTTATTATATTTAAATGGCTTGTGTATGGGTTGGTTAGTACAACTTTCGTATCCCGCGGCACTGATGCAATTTAACAGAGATATGGTAGGAGGTACTAATTAATTTCTAAAAATTCGAAAACAAAAGAGAAATTTAGAGAATGCATATAATTATTGATTATTTTTGATAATATCCATATAATTAGTTTTTACGGACCTCATTTGCATAATTAGCACTGTTTAAATTTAAAAAAGAATCAATGCGGATTTACATTAAAATTGTGATATCAAGTAATATTTATTATATTAATGTTTACTTTTAAAATTAATCAATAACCATGCAAAAAAGTTATAATTTATGAAAGTACCAAAAAAAAATAAACGCACTCACTGGATACTTATTCTTACATCATATAGGTTTTAAAGTAATGCAATCTTAATCTTTGCCCACGTTGTAATTATTAATATTTATTTATACCTTTCACTAGCGTAAGTAAGATAACCAGTGTAATCACTGAAAAGAGCTTATGACTTCTCAAGATTAGAATCACATGTTATAAACAACGTAATTTCTGTGGCCAACTGAATATTTTTCTATGAAACTAAATTAACTATTTCAATGATTAAATATTTTAATGGCCAATATATTAATTTCTTAATAATAATAATACAAAAAAACTACTCGCAATTAAAACACAGAATCTAGTAAACATGATATCCTGCAAACTGAACAATATTACTGTACAGAAGACATAAGAAACTTATGAATACAAATAATGCCTATACTATAAGTTATGAATACATAATAAGAAAACAAAAAAAAAATTAAACATTGTTCTCTGTACAAATACGTATATGTGTGAAAGTGATTTGAACAGCAACACTGTTATTGCCAATTTGCGGCTTTCTTTATTCCGGGCATGGCGTCACTGTCATCAACATATCGGATATAGCACAGATGATATTATAGTTAAGTGATGATTTATTATAATAGAACTCTGTATTATTTTCATCTCATTTGTGGTTTATACAGTCATACGTGTTCAGTAAAATAAAATGGTTGTTCATTACTGAAATAACGGAAATATTAGGAAATAATAAGTGTTACATTACTACATTGTATGCATTACATTGACACTAAAGTATGTTATGTAACTATAAATATATCTTCTAACACATATAAAACTGTGTCCATATGTTACACACAATTATTATTCTGTCACATATGAATTTTTCAACTATTTACAAGATTCATATGAATGTTGCGACTGTTTGTACTATGCATGTAAATTTTTCTCCCTAAATTAGACTCGATACAACCTAATTGACTTCGTCTAATTTAGTTGTACCGACTGCAGCGGGTTTTTTGTTGATCTGTGTCATACAGATTTGTTTGTTAAATCACTAAACTTTTTTCGATATAAATTTTACACAAGTACTCCTAATTGAAATTTTGATGAAATTAATTAGACTATAATATGTTTTGCTTTAATTAAGATATTCAAATGTAAAGCATTTACAGCATCATCACATTATACCTTGGTCCCATTATAATTCATGCCAACACAATAACTGAAAAGGACAAAAATTATTAAATTATTCTGTACGTAATTGTTCCGATGAAGACCCCGTTCCCCGCTTCCTTTCTAAGGTAAACGACAAATTACCCGCAAAGCAAACTAAGTCTTTATAAAGATCGGTCATTGCACTTGTAAACCATTTTTATGTTGCCATTTTATACTTAGTAATGCTATAATTACAATCTTTTGAGTAGACCTAATGACTCGATAGTTGGCTCACTGCTCCAATATAAATGCTATAAAACTGTCCATAAACTGCTATGACTATATTGGCATTTTAATACTTACATAAGCACTGCAACGACATACCTACCTTATTTTACACAGTCTAGTATAACAAGTCAATATTCCATATAATTTTATTTCGTTTCAAATTCTATAAAAATACATTTACCATGTCATTAACATAAGTTATAATGTAATTAACAACTCATAAAATTTCCGTTATTAGAAATTCTTTCTATTTTATCTTTTTTTTAATATTTTTTTTTTATATATCTGTAATTATAATTGTAAATGAAATATAAAATTTGGTAATCGGGCGTATTTACATATGTATTGTATGCCCACGCAAATCTCAAAAACTAGATGTTATTACGTAATTGCACTTTGTTTACCTTAAGGAAGGTTTGTATGTATTTGCATTTTTGTATATATGTATCATATTAGCGAACATCATTAGTGTATCAAGATGACTAATCAATTCCATATTCAAAAACGTAACTGACATTAGACTGTTCACATGTAAATGCTATCTATTTTGTCTTTAAATCAAAGGAATTCCTTAAAGTAAGTCACAAGATATGCCGAAGATAATCGATACCAATAAGTCATATTGGCTCGTAGATTATAAATAGCAAATAGATTTTTATCGAGTATGTATTAGACACTTTCCCTATAAACTTCAAAACAGAACCCAAAGATAATATCGCTTAATTACGTCTCATAAACTAAAATAGAACGGAAATAGAGCATCCTCCTACATTTAAACTTTAATGGATTCCATGTATAATTTAGAGCAAGTCCAGAGAAAAATATTTCTAATATTATATCGTAAGTAAGGGGTTATTTACTCGGTCGTCTTTGTCGCTTTGATCGGATATCTAGTTAGTATTATTAATCAAAGAATCTACTACGCAAATATAGACATTGATTTTGATGAAACTTTTATTATAATTTTTATTTTATTACTTTTAACTAAACAATTGTTATTTTTCTTTTATTCAGGAGGATGAATATGAAGCGCGAGTGGGCGCACGCTTCCCCATTAAATGGACAGCACCCGAAGCCGCGAACTACAGCAAATTCTCCATCAAATCTGATGTGTGGTCCTTCGGTATTTTGCTCACCGAGCTCGTCACGTATGGTCGTATACCGTATCCAGGTAAGTTACAACTAATTTAGTTTTTAAGATCAATTACTTTGACATCAGAACAAGTGTAGGGCGAAAAATATGAATTCCCACTTAGGTTATCAATTGCAACTGAATCTACAGAAATAACAAATTGTTTATTCTTTTTAAACTTTTCTAATTACGGAGCGCAAATTATTTCTTTTATAAACACTTCTATAATATTAGTATAGATAATTATTTACTATATTATTACAGGCATGACAAACGCAGAGGTCCTTCACCAAGTGGAGCATGGCTACCGCATGCCGTGCCCGCAGAACTGTCCGGCGGCGCTCTATGAGATCATGCTGGAGTGCTGGCACAAGGACCCGGTGAAGCGGCCAACGTTCGAGACCCTGCAGTGGAAGCTCGAGGACTTCTTCACCATGGACAACTCGGAGTACAAGGAGGCGTCCGCCTACTGAGCCCGGCCTTCCCTGCCGCCCCACCGACACGCACACTCACATCATGTAAGTGACCTCATGAAGTCATTACTAAAGGGAGACTACAAAAGTCGTCTGAGTTTTTTTACCCACTCGTGTTTCTGCCGTTAAAGCTGTATTTCGGTTTCAAGAATGAGATACATGAGTGAAATGATAGGATCGCCGTTATGTTCATGGTGCTGTTTATTTCTTATTTATATTTATAGAATTATCAATTATATTTTTAAAGAAGCAAGCTATTAAATATCTTAATATTAAAAATCATGTAACATAATATTCGTGTTCATTCACGATAGTGTTCAATATCACTCAATCAATTTTAATAGAATTTTATAGATATACATGTTTTTTGCTCCAGGTTGAAAGATTTGTTGAGTCATTTATGTATTATAAAAATTGTCTCCTTAGACGCCAGGTCTGTACCACATGCCGCCGGAGCTACAAATGCTGCACAACAGCGCATCAATGCAACATCTCCAGATGCTCCAGCTGGCGGCTCACCACGCGAGCCTTAACGAGATGCAAGCGCACCAAGCCGCCCACCACCCAACCGTTGGGCAACATCAACCGAGCGTTAGCCAGATGCACCAGCCGAGCATGCAGCTCCAGCCGAACGCCGCCATGCAACACCAAGCGGCCGTCGGTCTACAGCATCCGGTGAGCTTGAGCCAACTACAGCATCCGGCGAATATGAACCAACTGGCGGCGACGAGCAGATCGCGGCCATTGTGCCACCACCACGCGGCGCCACGACACGCTCAACTCGCGTACCGTACGCCCTAGCGCCCGCTTCACACAACCCACCAACAGTGGCCATGGAGCAACACCCTCCCGCGCGAGGATATCCGTAATACATAGATATGTTAAGACCTTCGATTGATTCGAAACGATGCAATTAGAACGAAGTAGTTTCTACCACTTGTAATTTCGTTCTGATATTTTATTGTTCTGTTCCAACTATAATCGTTCGTCTCAGGTTTTTTTTTTTTTGAGAAGTCTTAATTATACGTAAATTTTAAATTACCTGTATTTAACACATGATATACACAGTTTATTATTTATAATCATGTATATATTAAAATATGTAAAAAGTTAATTTATGTTACTTCCCACCCTGCAAGTTATTTGAGAAATTGTGTTGACTGCTCTAATATTCTAAAGAATTATGGAAATTTTTTTATGACTATTATTGCAAATTTTATATATAAATATATATATAAAAACAGCCATTTCGGAATACATTTTGTGAGATATAACTGCAAACGATGCGATCAACAAAGAAATCGCCAACAAACTTAATGCGTCATGTTTCTTTCACCTCTAATAAAACTATAGCTGTTTAATTACTTGAAACACTAAAGCTCTCAAAAACCAGTTATGTAAGTTTACTAAAAATATAAATCTATTGAATTATGCTAAGAAATACATACGTCGTGTTTATCTCATTGAGGTGGGTAGAAACAAAGAAACACCAAATGCTTAAAAGATTTAATGCTAAAAATGATTTAAACATTTCTTTCTCCGTAATCATCAACAAAAAAATATTTTCCATATATTACAACATACTTAAATATTTATTGTCTGATTTTACTTTTGTAGTAGACATCATAAACCAAAGTAGAATCTCAGTCAATTTCTTTTTTTTTTTTTGTGAAATATTGTAAAAATATTATCAAAAAGCATAAAAGAACATTTTAACATATAAAGACTACTTTACCTCATGAGTATACAACTTTATAAACAGACATTATTTCTCCGCCACTACGCCAACATGTTGAATTCGAAATATTTATAAACAAAAAATTGGTATTTAAATCTAATAAACATTATTAACAAATTAATATCGATTGCACATAATAAACTTAAGGGCATACACTTTGGGAAACTAAAGTTATCATTAACTTCTCAAAGCGTGGTAACGTAGCAATTATCAAAAACGATTTTACAATTTTCATAGTTCCCAAGTTCTCAGCTACTGTATCATGCAAATAATATTCTTATTAAGTTGTCACTGAAAATTTAAATCGTCATGGCAAAAATGTATTTAAAAATATTTCTTAGCAAAATATGAAGTAGGTGCAAAGTTTTCAGTGCTACATTTACCATATATGTAACGTATTCTATAATTGCGACGTTTGCACACTTCGGTAAACTAAAGTAATGAACGCTCTTAACGTAAAAACATTTGCCCTAAATAGTCCATTAAGATACACTGCATATTGTTTTTATATTGTAAAACACGATTCGGCATAATTACTTGTCACGTTATAATTGAAAAACAAAATGTATTGAATTTTCCAATATCGTCATCTTACACGATTTGACATTATCGTTGATGAAAAATTTAAAGCGATTGGATTTGCATATATATTTTGCTTACTTGCTTGTCGTGACGGTAATATGCCGTATCGTGCTACGATAAATTATAAAAGCTCCAGATTGCTAGAATTTAATACTAGGTCGTGACCCATAATTGTGTGTGTGTATGTAGCTGTATGTGCGAGAGTGAGAAAATGTTATAATTACACCACACATATGCGTGAAATTAGAGCCAAGTCTTCTCTTATAATTGATGTTTATTCCAAAATATTCCATTTTATCAAATGAAATGACTATTTTCCAACTAAAGAAGAAACGAGATTTAAAAGGGGTTTACAACTCGCAATTTAGTATAATATATTCAATTGAAAATAAGTTTAGTTAGACTGGTTATGAATTTTCTGAATGTAATTCTAATATACGTAGGTTAACACTGCAGTTTTTAAAGTAATAATAAAAGTTTTAAAAACGTGTTACTACTAGATAATTCGTAAGGAGATTCATAAACTAGGTAAACTCTGCCACTTGTGGATGTGGACATTCCTACTTTTGTTATAGACATTTTAAAGGTCGGCAATATAACTAATATACCTGTAAATATTGCCATATATTTAACAGTAATTTTGGACTAAACTAGCCGGTTAGCCCAAAATCTTGAAACCAAGTTGGCAACATTAAAATATATACTCAGATTCGTTCAATACAATTCAAGTACGGCAGGTCTACTCCAGAATCTAATATCAATATCAATCCAATCTATTGCCAATGATAATTTTATAACACATTCATGAAACAACAGGAATTAGGTTATAATTGGGATCGGTTTACAATAATTTGCATTGGCAAGTTACACTAATATGTATCTATCAGAACATTATAGAACTATTATGTCGCCAGTATTGCGATTCAAGAGTGCGAAGCGTCTCAATTTCAATGTAAATTTATTGAAATGTATTTCAACAGTAACCCTACAGATCATCTTGTACCATACGCGTTAGTGTTCATGCAGTAGCAACGTCTGTATTATCAGTAATTTTTAATTTGTTATCGAAATAGTGGATTTCTATTAAAGGTAATGTAAATGTTACCAATTCTGCGGTTTTGACCCCACCTACACAGAAAAACAATTGCAATCGCTGATATTGGCTTACTAAAACTAATTTTTTTTTTATTCTATTAATAATTATAAATAGTTTCAAACCAATCAGAAGTATACTTCTTATAATAACCGGTCAATATTTAAAAAAGGACAACTTCTGTGACCACATGCACTGTATTCACTGTAGTAGACTGTGTTATCCGTTACCAATAAAAACAAATATTTTGACTTTTCCGACTTTGTAACAAATTCTAAGTAGTAGATAAGAGGCTATGTTACTACTAAACAAGACATCGGTTTCGTGTTTAAATAAGCAAATCGGTATGTGTGCGATGCCGAGGCGTGGAGATATGCGCGGGTGTGCGTGTGTGCTCGGCCGCTGTGGCGAGTGTGACGACCGTGGCAACGTAACGGGGTGTACGCGTGCGCAGCGCGTGTGTATGCGTGACAAGGAGGAAATTTAGGTTCGGCAGGGAATCTAATCGTGCAAACAGCGCGATTTTGTATGTGTTTAAGTTTTAAAAGGCGCATAATCGATTAGGTATTTCACCTTCGTATACCATGTTTAAAGTAGACTATCGATATTGGTGATAGATGCCAAATAATCCTAATAAAGAACTGAATTTTATATACATATTAATTGTTCTGAGGGTATTTAGATATTAGGACTTTATTTATGTAATTAACGCAATTGAATTTCTCTATACTACACTTATATTATCGAATGCGAGTCATTTATTTATTTAGTAATGATATTATTTAAATTTTTATCTCTATGCAGTTTCCTAACAGATAAATGACTTCGTGCTCAACAATATAAATTTTATGTTTGGTATTGTATTGTATAGTGATACAAATTCAAAACTTATCGTTTTATTTGTGCCAAGACTTTTAGTTTAAGTAAAAGTTAGACGTCACGTAAAATCTGATCATTGAAACTATAAGGTGTATCCACTTACAATTAAGATATAAATTGGCCTAAGTAAATAAGTATTTTTGAATGTGTAGGTTTTGTATCCTAACATTTTAGAACTAACTTAATATATTTATATTCATTGATCGTCAATAAAGAAGCATATTCGTTATACAGAACTACGCACTTGTAGGCGTTGTATCGACATATATTGTGCAATATTATGCTAAAATCCGGTGCTTAAAATATAATTTGACTAGAGTTGATATAACTCGTTCAATTTATTTACATCCTCAGAACATTTAAACGAGTAGTTATTGATGTAAGCTTGAAATGTTAATTGAATTTAATAAATATAATTTCTACCAATACTATATATGAATAACGAATTCAAAGTTTGTCTTGTAAATTGTACTTCCCGCTATCACTGTATATACTACCGATATTGGATCAAGTTGTTATGAGTGATATTAGAACTGGTTGGTATTAGTTGTATACATGTACTCTACAGGTCAAAGTGCACTGAAACTATCATTCCAATTGGATCATCGCAATATATAAATTTTGACAAATAGAAAACTATCTAGATGATATTACGAAAGTGAGAATGATAATACAAATACAAAATGCAACTAACTCGCACAAATTATGTACTATAAACCCACTCATAAGGTGCCTAAGTATTTGCATTTTTATGTCACAAAATAAACCAGTTTATAATTGAGTAGTGACAAAATTAATGAGAGAAAATTTTAACTAAAGATACTTCCATTAAAATAATGGAAATATGTCTTTAGTTAAACTTTGTTTCTCCCTCACAAATCTTGAAATCTGCTCAATGTATGAACTGTTTTCTCATGCACTGTGGATAACGCACTTTATTTATAAAAAAAAAATACATTTAGACAGGACATCTCCTTACAAAATATGATTTAAGGCGTCAGACTTACGTATGCAGGATTAAAAACAGGTGTTGCATCTTTAATGATTCCAACTCAATATTGTTTATGTTACTGTATTGTTCTTACTCTATAATTTATTGTACTTTAAATTTCCTTTAAGAATTAGCTGTATAATATGCTTTTAGGCTTTATGCTTTATTGAAATAGCTTAGTTCGCTGTCTATGTTTTATGGCAATATTATAATTATTATTCTTCATATTTTATGATTAGTTAGCCAAATTTCAATTACTTTTCTAATAAGGCCATCACAATAAAGATCAATAAGATGCGTAGGCTAAGATGAGGACATGAATGTTAGATACTTTTAACTAGAATTATTTAGTAATTGTCGCTGTATTGATTGACATTTATACGTACAGTTCTGTACAGCTGTAGCAAATATGTGTCGGTAAATGTAGGGTAATGTCAAATTCGAGTGCGACTGATGTTAGTTGATACTGTTTGCGACGTGAACTAAGGTCTTATTACCTCCGAGTATCAATTAAATCTATTTTAAGTTTTCTCATGGCCCGGTATTACACTTTCATAATATATGATTATATAAATTAATCACGTCGCAGCACATAATACCGATATCTCTTTTTGATCTCTGGATATATTTGTCTACCTATAAATTAGAAATATGGCAGTGTAATACCAGCGTTACTTATTATTATTCTACAATTATTATATTTCACTTATTTGTAAAGATTTTTTTAACACAACAATAAATATAAATGTGAAATATTTTTTGTTTCATTCCATATTACTCACTGTAACTCATTAGGTCAAAAAAATTAAATAAAACTACACATTGTATTTAACAAAGAAATATTATTTTAAACCAGTAAATTTTTTTAACTTGTCACATATATTTTTTATTCTTTCTGTTTGTTCAAATTCGGTTATATTTTCTTTCAATTTACACAATAGTGTAGTATCCATTTCTAGCCTACATATTATGTCTTCGAGCTCACTTGTATTTAATTTAGCTTTTTTACACACTGGTTCAGTGTCACTTTCATTAAAGAATGTATCTACATCCGCAAATTCAAAATTACCACTAGAAGAAGTTTTGCAAACTGCCTGTGTTGATTTAACATTATTATGCAAACATATATGAGTATGTTTAAAATCTTTCGTCGCCATTAATTGTTGTTTTAGATCATTATAATCATACTTTTTCAGTGTTCCATGCTCTACAAATTGCCTCCAGATTTCCATTAATGAATGATTTTCTCTAATTGCTAAAGACACAATTTCTTCTAAGTTCGAATGTTGGGCATAATGACTTAATGTTCTAAATAACTTATTCCGCACGACTACATTAGAATCTTGAAATAAACACTTGAATGTTTCAATTATCGTGCAATCCACGTTATATGTGTGCTCATCTTGCTCAGTATGATTTGTTAATATACATAATAGCTCAATCAATAATAACTTTATTTCGGCATACCCATTCTGAATGATACATGAGATCACATGGAGTACCTTGAAATTAAAAATTATCTTAGAATACTATATAAAGAAAAATTCAAGATGTCATCGTTATCATTATATCAGCCACTTAATTGTCCATTACTGAACATAAGCCTCCTATTGTGGGGATTCTGCCAATAGTTGCCATGCTTGGTATGCACTTGGCACAGTTGGCAACCGCAGTTAGTCTTTGGTGATGTTTTAAGAGGGATGATGCTGCTCATCCCCAGACCATCAAATTCCCCTTGTCGCCTCTTACGGCACTCATGGAAATGGAAGGGATGACCCATTCTATGTCGAGACCACACGGCGATTATTTATTTAGAAAGCATTATATAAAAATAACTTCGTTATATAATGTTTTCTTAATAAATAATATATCAGTCAATTACACCAAATACCTAATTGGTACTGCTTGAAATTTAAATACAACAGATATCCCAGACGCAGCTCAAAAATACACAGAAACAACTTAAAGTTTTGTTTCTAAAAATTCAAACTAAAATCAACGTAACAAATAGATTTTACCTACTTTTCAACATAAACGTTTAGAGCAAACTAAGGCGATGAAGATATTTGCCTTGTAGGTATTACATATTTCTCCTTTTTTTTTTACTACTTATTCATATTTACCTTAATCAAATCCTGATTACTATCAAGTACAATATCCTTTGCACAAATTGTTAGGAGAGTCAATGCTTCAATATATTTCAGGTACCAAATTTTACTTTTGTCCAAATCTTTTAAAAGATTAACATTATAGTTTGGGCACCCTTTGGCCCATGCTTTAAAAATGCTGTTTTTCATTGAAACATCAGTAATTACAGAACAAGTAGCTGCTAGTTTCATTACTTTTGCCTAAAATTAAAAAATGATCATCAATGTGTAATTTTTGGAAAATTTCAATAAGAATTAATATAAACATGCAAAATATTTCCAAATATGAGTTAATTTTGTTTTATAAATGGCAGCCATTCAGCCATGCTTACTAATTTTATAATGTGGAAGTGAGATTGTTTGTTTGTTATCTCTTAGCGTCGTAACGGCTAAAAAAATTACTATGAAGTTTGGTTTACAATACAGTTTTTCTATTCTGGTCACGTAGACAAAGTCGTGTATAAAAGCTAGTAGTAAAATATTGTATAATAATATTCAGAGAAATATTTTAAAAGTTATAAACAATTTTACCAAAAAAAATACTTCAGCTTGAACACGCATGCGCCCATTAAACAGTAAATCCAGCAACAGTTTACATTTTTCTATCACTTCTTCCTGGGCCCGGCATTGTAAATCCACAGGCAAATTCTCAATTCTAAGGGCAATCCATAATGATATATTCCTTTCGTCTAATATTGGACTAAATTGTTTATACAGCTTCAATTTATCATCATTAGACATTGTCTTGAATAATTGGCTCATTGTGTAACTCAAATGAACTTGTTGAGGGGAGTTCGGAAATAATGCATTCGTTTCTAATTTCTGATACACTCCACATAACACTACTAACTCATTTAGTTCGAGATCGTGCATTCTGAAATTTATTTTAGTATTAAAAATATGAAAACTTTGTATTTACTACAACTTTTATTCCAAATACGGCGGTATAAGAAAATGACACAATAAAGAAATGAACATAATCTTTAAACATCAACTGTTAATAGTTACTGTTTCTCTTTTTATTCTTTACATTTATCTACTTTGTATATTAAACTTAGGATACTTATTATGATGTACCAGCCATACCGTCGTATTTTAAAACGGAGCATAGATACATTAAAATATTAATTACAATTAAATAAAATTTATTGTACAAGAAATTAGATCAAAATCATATTCGAGAAACCGCCTACCTAGACAAGCATAAACCATACACATGAGATAAAACGAAATAACATCCAGCATATTATTTTTTCTCATACATGAGACAAGGTGTTTCTACCAATATATCCGTTTCCCACTTGTCAAAAGAAACATTAGCAATAATCTTTGATTATGAATTTTAAAATGACTAACAAAAGGATGGCTATTAATATCAAAATATTATATAATTGACGTTAATAAAATATACTAACCTAGATAATAAAATCCATAGATTTGATATAAAAAGTGCGCGGTAACAATCCGTACTAAGCAGTATTTCATACATATATTCCTTGACAATATTTATCTCCTCCGAACTGAGGGTGACCATAATTGCTGTTGCATGAGTAAGGAGATATTCATACAATCCGCATGTATATTGTGAATTATCAGAATTGCTCGTCCTTTTAAATTTCAGACCAATGTTGAACCAAACGTGACCTGGGAAATATTTTAATCGAAAGCAATGAGTTTCAACACTTACACAAATAATATATTGTTAGCACAATAATTGTTACTAATCTGAAAAAATTAGCAACATAATAAATTTATTTCTTAATTTATAGATGTACAGATTTTTTTATATTGTATATGATGCAATTAAGGATTTAGGATGTGATTTGTAGTGGCACAATTTCAGATTTCAAATTTATTTCTTATAAGTACTTACAATGAGACACCACATCAAAAACACACATGAGCAACTTCCGTTTAGAAAAAGTATATTTCTGAGGATTTTGCAGAGTAATATTAATAATGGTTATTAAAAGAATTATATATCCAATTAGTTTGTCATCCTCTTTTATCACGTTCACGTTATAATTAAACATATACTGAAAAATAAAATAATAATTTCCATATTATAAACTGAATCAGTGTTTCACATATTCAGAGTTCCATGCTATTAAATTACGTCGAAGTCTCTGATACAATAGTTAGTTGTTTTACAATAATAATATATCTTACACTCATAAATGTTTCATGTGATATCAGTTCTTTTAGTAAACTGTCTGCAGGATTTAAAACATTGCTCCTGATTAAATGCATAAACTGAAGTGATTTTGTTCCCACTAATTCCAAATATGACTCGGTATGTCTGAAAAAAATTAATGATAATTGTTTTTTTTATATTACTTAATCGTTGCCGTGGATGTCTGAATTGTAGCAACATAGATTTTATTTTGTATATTAATTAACCTGACTTTATGGACACTCATTGTTATACATATTTTCATTCATACATACATTACTTGTATACACCCACTCTTAATTTAATTTTTATTGAATTACTTACTTGAATTATAATTTTTGTTTATATAATTAAAATGTGTTTTTAGCTGTATTTATAAGAGATTTAGCATGACAGTTGTTTTTTTAAGAGCTGTGGATTTTTGTATTAAATAAATAAATTAGGCTCAGAAAATATTTTAGCATTAACTCTACCTTATGCCCATGTATGTAATAATGAATAAATAAATAATACCATTCAGAGAGATGAAAAATTATAAAAATGGGAGTATATACTCCACACTTCAATTTAACATAGGACGCTTAAATTACATATTTTACCATATTTTAACTCACATTTTTTCAGAAAAAAATATCTTATAGATGATAATAATGATCTTTGGCAGAACAAATCCTTAAATGACCACTAATGATTTTGATTTCACCACAGGGTTTAAGTTATTAAATAAATATGTCATAAAACTTACAAATAAATGTAAATCATCAATTCAACTATATGATCAATGTTTCTAGCTGTGGCATATTTAAAAATATGTGTAACTTTTAAGAGTATTTTTATTATAAAACTGGTCACTTTTAATGATCTCACAATTACTTTCTCATCTTGTTGCATCTGTAATTAAATAAATAACTAATTATCTTCCCATATGTATGTATCTATACCATCTATACTAATATTATACAGAGGATTTGATTGTTTGTTTATAACAAATATACTCAAATACAATAGGCTATATATTATTTTCCAGAATTCTATTTAATAGTGTGATCGTTCAGGTTGGTAGCATTAATTATATATAAATTTTTTTACAAATTGAAATGGTAAACTTTTGTTTATAGACGTGAATATACCCATGGTACCCATCATGCAATGCACTGCCTAAAGTGTTATGCCTCTGCGCCCTTAAATTTCACTGCCACATCCTGAACTATATTGTTTATTCATATTCAAATTATACAATAAACCTATACAATCGAATCACATCTATATTAACACAGCTGTTTGGCAGCAGATGCACAAGAATAACATGAACACCTGATTCATTCTGATCATTACAGCAGACAAGTAATGTAATAATTATAAAAAAAATATAAAGAATAGATGGTAATACAAAAATTACTAACTTCTAATGCATTACTAATATTATTTGTAATCATTGAACAAAGTATTTTTGTACAATCATTGTAAATATTCTTATCCATAAGATAATTGGAATACTTCTCACAAATCATGGTGAAACCCTTCCATTGTTCTGCCATAGTCTTCACATCTAAGCTTTGTACAATGTCTCCTATCTTCAAATTTATCTGTAATGCTGTATCATAAATAACAGGTATTATAAAAAATATGTTTTGTATTTAACACAAACAGAGATATTGTTTATGCTGTAGGAGCTGGTTGTCCATTAACTATGCCCACATGAATCAATATTTAAAATTCTACTTGTGTACGAAATTTAATTCTAATCCATGATTGAATACAAAAAAATAGAAAAACTTTTCCAAATTTTGAAATTTATAATATTCAGACGATTGTTTTGACTTTATTTTTATTTAATACACTGTTAGTGCTTAAAGTAAGGTATAAGATATTTCAGATTTCTAGTTCTTACACTTGATTTATAATGTTCTATCAGTGCAATCTTATAACTGTATAAAGAGAGTTCTTTATCTGTGTTTTAATTATGAAAAAAATAGAAAAATACCTTCAATAAGTATTTCCTGTTCATCTGTTTCAGTCAAATCGAATACAAAATGTTTTTCTAGTAACATTAAATATGTAAGTTGAAGTTCATGACAAGTCCGAAACAAGTCTTTTAACTGCTTCTCTACTTTGCTTAAATAACTTCCATAGATGGATTCACTGGAATTAAAAAGCAAAACAATAATTTCCAAACCCTATGGCAGAATCATAAAATAATTACAATATAAATTGTTTAGAATTAAATTTAGATATTGTTTAAGTTAATAAAGATGTTTAAAAAAATATAAAACTTAATTCTCAAAAATTTTGAAATGAAATTTCTATTTTTTATTAAAAATATCTAACAAATTTTGTCAAATTGAAAGCCTTAATTATGTATTAATGACACAAATATAAAATAGTTAATGTTACTTTAACATTTCATTACTAGCTATATTGGCAACTATAATGACATTACAGAAATAAAAAAATAGCACACCATTACCCACACTAAATATTGTTTATGCTGAAATTAGGTAAGCTAATAATTAGTGAATGTATGAATAGTTGAGTTGTTAAAATGTCTAGAGAAAAATTTTGTGTTATGTTTATATGGATACAATAAGGAGGAATAATCAGCAATGGACAATTAACAGCTAATATGGTAATAAGGATATATATATATACTTCTAAATATATATAATACATACCTCTCTTTACAATGAGTAAAAACATTCATTAGAATATGGCCTGTGGTAGTTGGGAGTATTTTCATAGAACAACATGATATAGAAACAGACTCAACAACCTTCTTTAAAAAGTTGGACAACATCTGTATTATACATACAGCATCATCTAAGCAGTCAATTAACTTGTTTAGTGTTATATTTGGATCCAAAAGCAAGTCCACAGCCATACACAAACTCTGAAAATATAAAGTAGATAAGTATGATTAGCATAACTACAAAGATGTTTAACATACTGCATTTATCAGAGGGAGATTTTGTACAAAAGTTGTTTGCATGGACACCTCTGTCCTATTTGTGTTTCTACCCTAAAGCAGTTGTTTTCATGGCTGTTTCGGTTTGAAGGGTGGGATATGGCAGTTCATTTACAGGGTACAGAGGGGGGAGGAATTGTTAGTAATGAGGTCTAATAGCCCCATTGCTAGCAATATACCCTCTCAGGTTGACCTCCACGCAGTTCCCCCTGGGAACCGTCATGGTTCATTCTTGTCGAATTCATCATGGTTGGCCAACCAACCTGCATTCATTCTCACTTGTCATGTTCCACTGGTGCCTTGTCGGTGTATACTGATAGCATGGATGGAGTTACCATCCATTTTCACCCCTTAAAAAAAAGGGTACAGAGGAATAACACCCGAGTCCTCAGAAATAGCCATGCATGGGGGAGTATCATGGGTTTGTTTGCCATTCTAAGTTGCATAGAAAAAATTATAGCACATTAGATTCACATGCAAATTCATCTGTATCACTGTAATATGTTGATTAACCTCCTTTCTTGGGTCCACGGTATACTACTACTGTCCATGCATACTGTTCATTTTTATCTCATACATCTAAGTTATGGAATGGGCTCCCGTCTTCAGTTTTCCCTTTACAATATAATATGGATAATTAAAAAAAAATGTACCCACAAACATTAAAAAGGCTGGCAACAAGCAAGCAACTCCTCTTGTGTTGCAAGCGTTCATGGACGACGGTAGCCACTTTCCATCAGGTGGATCATCTGCTCGTTTGCCTCCCTAACAAATTTATATCCTTCTTCTGCATCCTAAATAGATACTATTTATAAAGAAAATTGCATGACAATTGGTAGTCGTTAAAGCGCCAAAAATCACAAATGATCAGACTTTCGTATTTATAATATTAGTAACTATTCATAGATACTTAACACCTATAATACTAATAACAATGAAAATTGTTTAGTATTATGAAAGTATGAAGTTACGAACTGACCTGAGAAATGCACGCTCCACAATCTTCTAAAAGTGAGGTGAAATTATTTAAAAAAATGGAATTATTTCTACCCCTTTCGATATTAGCAGTCAAAGCCGCTTTTGTAGTCGTTATAAGGGATTCATATGTTACAAAATCCATCTGTTTTCAGAGTTAAGTCTAAAATTGTTTTGATATACTTATTATAATAATATACATAATGTAAAAGGATACAACCAACGAATGATTATTAATACTTTCGGCAGAACTTGACAAAACAACAAAATTTTGAGATTCATTCATTTTTCTTGTATTAAAATAATTATATTTAAATTCATTTCAAAGTTTTAGGTAATTTAATTATTTAAATTACAGAGATTAGAAGAATAGATTTTTGAAATATCTACCAGAGAGCATACTACAGATTACACAAAGAGAGACACTAACATGACATCGAACAAAGTAAAAAATATTTGTATGAAATCTGTATAGATTTTATACAAATATTTTGAGTTGTATAACCACTTCATTGAATTTACACCATATAGATATATTGAATTTACACTATATAGGTATTAAGTCTGTCGAAAATATTTATCTATAGATCGAGTTCATAGTATAAAATTCTCAAATTTATTGTACTGGTTGCTTTATTGATAACAATATTCTGATTAGACATATAAACAGTTGTATAAAATTACAAAAATTAATTTGTTTTATGTTATATAGTAATATTCTCTGGCGTTGATGCAACTAGGTCATTGCATAGATTTATTTTTAGATTTTATAAAGTGAGGTACCTGTATACCAATTCCTAAAAGTCCTCAAATACCTTTTTTTTTTTTAAATAGCATTCGGTCTTTATCCTTATGACCATTTCTGTCAGCCAAAATACCAGCTGCCATTTTAAATTTTAGTTTAATTCTACATAATATTGCCAAGTTTAACGTTTCTCGCCTTTTTCAATAACCTAGTTATAAATTCAACGATCACTATGTTGAATCAACGAAAATTTTTTAACCAATGTCAATTACAATTACGGTAGTAGTAGTATTATATATTATATATCTAAATATGTTATTAAAGTTTATGTGATATTAACTAACTATAACATGACATAACATTTAATGAAACAATCACTTATAGATCAAATACACCTTGTATAACTTTTGTACCTATTTCTTTAGTGGATGATAATGGTATGGTAACCCTGTCTGCACTATAGCTATACACTGGCGAGGCACCAGTGAGTGATGATAAATGAGAATGCAAGCAGGAGGTCTACCATGAAATGAAATTCCGAAGTTTCGGACTCAATTTCACGTTTTTGTTCACACCTAAATCGGGCCAGTAAATGGAGCTTATCATTTTGCTCGTCATAAATCCTACCATAAAAGTCCCAAGGAATAATATTTTCATATTTTTAATATTTTTAAACGGTATGTATTATGTAATTTTAACATTCAATTTGTATTTCGTTCGTCTCCGAAATTTCGGAAAACATTTCACGGTAGGCCCTCTGGTCAGTTGGCCTATCGTGACGGATTCAATTAAAATTAACTACGATGATTTCTAGGGGGAACCATGTGGAGGTCGACCTAATAGGGCATATTGCTAACAATGGGGCTGTCAAACTACATTAGTTACAATCGCTTTCCCCCTTTTGTATCTATTTCCTCCCAGGGTTTCTACCACAGATTAGAAAGATTATGTCTAAAGAATAAAAGTAAGCAATGGCGTCTCAGAACCGACCCATTCCTTGTTCTTGGACTACTCTGTTAGTTACTGTCACTGTCAACGTCATTGATATGTCATGTCATTTTCACATGTTTCACACGCGGCCGGCCGCTTATTAATTTAATGTCGTGATCAGTGTTTTCCTATTTTTTTTTATTAATCTTTTCTGTAGTATAAGTAGTTAGTAATTATCAAATTGATCTAATAATAATAAGCTTTGCTTCGATATCTTCTATTGTATGCGTTCGGCTACTCTGCTATCTAAGAAGCGAAATCATAGAATACATTTTATTTAAAAGAAAGTTATGAGAACAATACGAAAATAAATATCAATTTCTAAAGAAATAATATAATGGTTTCAAATATTTTAGCTGCATTAAAGTGCATAAGCTCCGAAACAAATAATAAAGAGTTTCTAAAAATATGCTGCGATGTTGTGGTTAGTATATTTTGTTTTTGTTTTTTTTTTGTATTATTTTAGAATGATACACGGCAGGTTCTTTATGGGGTAAACAATGTGTATTTAGTGTAATGCCGGACTAAGCCTATCAGGTGTCCGTCAGCGGCAAAAAAGAATAAGGCCACCAGTTTAACAAGTTGATATAATTTTATAAGCTTTTTATTCAATTCACATTTGTATATATAAACAAAGTATAAAGAACTACTACAGGTGTTTCATGAAGGGGTCTATATAAGATAATTTGAGGGAAGGTATGTGCATGTGAGTACCGAACTGCTATGCATACCTTCGGAACCTGCCAAAGATCAATATATGCATGAATACTATTGAAATTTAATATTTAACGAATTTATTATTATTTTGGAGTGTATTTATATTTTATTCTATGTATCTTTTGTGGTTAATTTAGATTTTCTGTTCTAAAAAATTAATTTTGAGGGCAAGTTTTATCAAGTTGTTATCAAATTTATTTTCAACTTAGCAAGTTGAACTTACTTCAATAGGAAAAGATTAAAATAAAACTTAGCCAATTTGGTTTTAATCTCCTTCGCAAATTTGTAATAACTTTATTATGATATCCCAAATGACTTGAAGCTCTATTGCTATCAATATAGTTTCTTCTGGAAATGATCTTGGTTAATTCTTGTAGAATTTATTATGATAGGCTAGCTACTGCTACCTGCTTTCATCCTTGCCTATCACCTCACTGGTGCCTAACATCTTACTTATAATATTGGCGAGTTGCTATTCCATTATTACCCTTTAAAAAACTGACCTGAAATTTTTTTTAGGTAATCACATCTCTTGCTGGTTTTCATAAATTTTTTATGTATTAAAATACCCATTTATAATTTACAGGAGTCACTTGAAAAGAATTCAATAGGAATACAAAACATTATCCAGACACTCTCAGAACATATATTAAAAATTGAAAATGCTTTACTATTTAAGAAATACTTATCAAACATTCTGCTAGCATTAGTTTCTGCTAGAATACCCTTAAAACCAGTTTTTTCTGCCTTCAACACTGACACTTGTAGTGATGAAGAGAAGACTAATCACTTGGAGTATTCAATTGTCTTAGCAGCGCTTAGTGATCACCCTGATGTTTTGCAGTAAGTATAATTTATTTTTAAATATAAGAGTTTAATTTAATTATAACTAAATATACCTTCCAGCTTCGCCATATGTGTGGTCATATCATGATATTGAGTAGGCAATAATCTTCCACAAAAAATTAGCTATCAAATGCAAAAAGAATTTTTTAATCTGACATAGATAGATAAATATACACTTTATTGTTTTCTCCAAAAGATTACAATAGTAAACTTATTATAAATTTAAATAACTACAAGAAATGTCAGTGATTAGCATCCTCAAACAGTATTGCTTTATTATTATTGATTTGTTAATAAAATTAGAATTTTAAAAATAATTTAAAAAGTTACTTTTTAAATACAAATATTATTTTGCTTACAATATTTAAATTACATTTACAATTTTTTTCTGTTTCAAATTTACCAATTTATAAGCTGTACCTACTATAGATTGGTAAATATGGAACAGGACTTCAGAGCAATAATTAACCAAAAATAATAAAAGATTCTTTCTGAAAATATTATACACATCTTTTAAAATAATGCTATGTTTTTCCTATCCCTTACAGGTATGCCCTTAAATATTTTGAAATTAACCCTGTGCCACCATTTATGGTATTCATTCATCATGAGGAGTCATACAATGTTGCTCCTAAAAAGCGAAGGCTACAAGACTGTCGACACAAAGTTACTGACCAACAAATAGTGACATGTTGTTACACCCTTCTCTCCAAGCTACCCAATGAGCTATCTTCAAAATGGGATTGGACACAATTTGTAACAAATTTTAGTAACCATGAAAATACAGAAATAAGATGGTATGTTTTGATCGATTTTTATTTAACATACATATTTTTTTAATTTATCTAGCTAAGCTAAATATAAAACACCATATTTAATATAAAGTAACAATTATAAAAAGAAATGCCATGTAATGACATTGTACAAAAATCTATACTCTGTTTTTTCCGAATATTGAATTTAGTAGAGAATGTAGGTATTAGTATACTCATATATACTTATGTAAAATTTAAAATCCTTATACTAGTCCTAATTCCTTTTGTGTTGAATTGTGTTTAGCCTTATGTCTTACATGCCAATCTGTTTGTACAGCTGGTTCTTTTTTACAATAAGAGATATATCATAAGTTATATAAATGTAAAACTTTGTGAAGATGTTGTTACCCGATTTTAATATATACATTATATTTCAGTAATTCAATAGATTCTCAATAATAATATATTTATATCTTAGTACTTTTTTTACTGCTGTATATAGAGCCTTAGATATTGTCTGCTGTGTGTGTAATAGTTCTTACTGGAAATTTAATTGGTTACATATTATTTATTTTATAATATTTGTATTGTTTACTGAATAAAATAATGTGGTCTAATTTTAAATTATAAGTTGACATCTCTGCAAGCAAATGTTACTACTGTATATAAATAAGTAATAAAATAGTTTTTATAAAAAATATTAACTATTTGTAATGCTTGTCAATTTATCTCCATGGATGAAAATTTTATAAATTGAAAATATCACCGTTAAAGAAATTAGAAACACTGTATTTTTAAAAAGTTTTATTGCTATAGGCATATGTAGAGGGAGGCTCATGCTTACGCTAGAATTGTCTGGTGCCAACTTATAATCCAAGCTCAACTTTTTTGTTTAATATAAATGAATAATAAGAATAAATTTTTCAAAAATTATTTTTTAATACCGTTTAATAGGAGGTGAAAAGTTGCAATTGAGGTTTCAATGAAAGATCTCATCAGGCACATGCCAATTATTAACTTGAATTACTTCATAGATTATATTTAGCTTGTTAAGTTAATCAATTTTATTGTCATTATATATGGTTTTCTATATTGTAGGATGGTAAAAGAATGTATGGCGATTCTAACAAATATGACAGAAGCTCAAACAAAAATTTTATCCAAAAACTTAGATCTGTCAGAGCAAGATACTTTACAATATACAACTGATAGGAAATGTGAAGTGCAACCTGTTGAAGAAGTTGTTACTGATGCCAAATTGAATTCAAGCAGTGTTGTCAATATTGATGGCATAATGTTGCCACTCTATAATGAAGATTTTGTGTCACATGATCATCTAGTTCCGGTTAAATCTACAATTAATAATCTAAGAAGTTTAGCACTGGCAGTAGCTTCAGGTAATGGTGTCAGCAGTTCCTCTAGAAAGATCATGTTTATGATTTAAGAATCATGACTTCTATATAAAAATTTTTTAGCTTAGCAAAATCTGCACATAATTTTAGTATCAATACTTATTGATACTAAAATTATGTGCAGTGTATTATATTATAAAGAAAAAAGATATGATTTTTTTGTATGTATATTTGTTTGTTTGTAATCAATAAACTTATAATTTACTCAACAGATTTTAAAAATTCTTTCACTTATAGAAAGTTACATTATTGGTGAGTAACATAGGCTATATATTATTTTTAAAAAGTTAAGGACCCTAAGAAAATTTTAATAATGTACCCCAAGGTGTCAAAATTTGCCTATTAAATCTAATATAAAATACTAATTTATCTTTCTATCTATCTACCTGTGCGAATCCGGAGCGTATCCCTAGTCTAGCTACATTGTATAGTTTTGAACTAGATGGCGGTGTACAATATATTCATGTCTATGATTAGGTTTACATCAGCCATTCGATCTTAAGTTTAATAACAAACAATATTTTTCTTTATTTAACACCTTCAAATATGGATATAATATATATAAATTAATTGTCTCAGGTAAAGCACTATGTCTGATGGGTCCAGTAGGATCTGGTAAAACTTCCTTAGTCGAATATTTGGCTGCCATAACTGGTCGTAAAGGAATCGCCTTTAAGAAGGTTCAGTTAGGTGATCAGACAGATTCCCGAATGCTGCTTGGGTCTCATCAGTGCACTGACATACCTGGCGAATTTGTATGGAGACCTGGCGTTTTGACTGAAGTACGTATTATTATTACTTTTGTAATATACTTTTCAAGCTTGTTTCCAAGTTAAGGCATAGAATACCTACAATTATATAATATAAATCAGTATATCTCTAATACAAAATTTGAAGTAAACTAAATACTAAACAAGAAAGTATACTGAAAGGGATAAGAAGGGACTTTAAAAGAAATATACATACTCCCTGGTTTCAGAGAAGTTAAATATTGCCCATGTTATCAAGCTGTAAAAGCATATAACAAGTTGTTCATAGAATTAAAAGACATTAGAAGCATTTCCTTATTCAAAAACGAACTGGTGTCTTAGTTATTAAAAGAGATCGTTTATAATTTAAATATTTTAACTAGTTACTGTTTCTCTTTATTATTATATAATAATGTTTTATATTATATTCAAACACAATTTGTAAGATTGTATGTGATAAATGAATGATTGACAGTTTTACTTAATTTCTATATAATTGTATATAATAAAATAAATAGATAATAAAATTATACATGATTATGAAAATAATGTTTGAACCTCCCAGGTTTTATATTAAAATAGGAGTAAATACAATTATTATCGTGTAGTATAAATAAATAAATTATTTCATTAGGCTGTACAAAATGGTCATTGGCTACTGTTAGAAGATATCGATTGCGCTGCGCTGGATGTGGTGTCAACATTAAGTTCTTTGCTGGAAAGAAATGCATTATGTGTCCCTGGCTATAGAGATTCTTTGCCTGTTACACCTGGATTTCAACTATTTGTTACACAAAGGTAAGAGAACACACAAAGTTATTGCATTACTTGTTGTTGTTCTTACTGATTATATTTGTTAAAATTCCAAATATAATAAATAGTATTTACTAATTTGGCAATAATTGGTTTTCCTTACATACATAGACCAATATATATGTAACCGATTTACCATAGATGTTTGCCACAATTGTTAATAATCGTGAAATAAATTTATATCGTAAAATCCTATAGCTTCCCCATTTATTCTAGTATTTAAATTGACCATTAATTGTGTATTACTTTTAGGACTCTAGTTACGAACTATGGTTTCCAAAAGAAAATGTCCAATTCAAGTGCACTTCTACAAAAACATTTGACCCAAATAAATGTAGAACCTTTATCAAGGTCCGAACTTGGCGAAATCATACAAACACTTTATCCACGCCTCAGCACAATCAGTTCAAGAATCATCGAAGTTTTCATGATGTTTTCTGTTGGAAGCCACGACACATCTTTGCAGACTACTGAAAACGTTAGTACTGATAAGGAAACTAACGTTAATGTTCTGAAAGGCTCGAGGCTTATTTCTACAAGAGATCTTATGAAATGGTGTTCAAGATCAGTTGTAGGTTTTGAAGTTTCAAGCCCAGATTCAGCACAGAAAGTTCTCCAAAATGCTTTGGATATATTTACGAGTTCAATATCTTCACCTGAACATAGACTTCAGCTAGCAAAAAAGGTTGGCACTTGTTTAGGAATCGTTGAAGCAAAAACAGAATTCTATTGCAAACATTATAAGCCAAATGTATCTTTACATCCCAACTCATTAGAGGTAGGAAGAGCTAATATGCCAAGAATAGAAAAGGCATTAGAATCCGTAGACTTCGATAATAAACAAGCAGTATTTTCTTTTACTCGCCAAACGGCATGTTTGCTAGAAAAGATTATGTGTTGTGTAACATCAAACGAACCCGTACTTCTGGTGGGTGAAACAGGCACTGGTAAGACATCTTCCGTTCAATATTTGGCTAAACAAACCGGACATAAGTTAGTGGTCATCAATATGAATCAACAGTCTGACTCTGCCGATTTACTTGGTGGATATAAACCAGTTGATTTGAAATATGTAATAAGACCAATCAAAAATGAATTCGAACGTTTATTTCGAAGTTTTTACAATGTGGAAAAAAATCAAAAGTTTCTTGGACACATTGATACTTGCTATGAGAGAGAAAATTGGACCGCACTTTTGGCGTTAATGAAACAGAGTTATAAAGCGGCTCTTACTAGATTAACAATTGAGAAGAAAGAGCAAAAGTTAAAGAAATGGGTGATATTTGGCCGCAAACTTTCAAAATTAGAACAACAAATTAAAACAGCGTCTAGATTGACGTTTGCGTTCATCGAAGGATCTCTCGTTAAAGCTATGCAAGAGGGCCATTGGGTTTTACTAGATGAAATAAATTTAGCATCTGCAGAGATTTTAGAATGTCTCGCTGGTTTATTAGAAGATAAAAATGAAACTATTGATTTATTAGAAAAGGGAGACAAAGTTCCAATAAAAAGACATCCAAACTTTACTTTGTTTGCTTGCATGAATCCTGCTACCGATGTTGGTAAAAAGGATTTGCCAGTTGGTTTGAGAAATCGCTTTACAGAATTTTTTATAGATGAATTGACAGAAAGGAATGACTTGATGCTGCTTATTGGTGATTATTTGTATCATATGAATCTCAGTGGTGCAATTTTAGAATCTATTTATAGCTTTTATGCGAACGTAAGAAAAGAGGCAAAACTGAATCTAGTGGATGGTGCAGGTAATATTTTGAATCCCGAATTTTAATTACTTAAGGCATAATTCTTAGTTTTCACAATCCCTATGGTTTATGAATATCATAAAATAATTAAAAAATTTCATTTAACTACTTATTAATTTTTTTAGATAACTTTCTTTCTGATTCAATGATTTTATTACTATTTTCAGGTAACGCGCCTCATTATTCACTAAGAACGCTCTGCAGGGCTCTAACAGCAGCAGCTAAAGCTAAATGTGGCACTGTAGCTAGATCATTATATGAAGCGTTTTGTTTGTCTTTCCTTACCCAACTAGACAGCTCTTCACATCCCATTGTTGAAGCTATGATAGCTAAGTATGTTTATCAAGTTATAAGGAATTTTATTTAATATCATTATACTTAGTTATTTTGAATTTCTTTAGGCAAAATTTGTAAGTGTCTTAGGACTGAGTATTTTATTTTACCGTAGTATAATGAAAGACCTCCTTTTTTATATTTTCTAAAATGTGTGTGAAGATTACACACGTATGACTAAGTTATATTTATGAAAATATAAATTTGTAAGTAGTTTTTGTACCTATAATATATAAACTGATTAGCGGTAATTCTTTATGTGAAATAGGTCAACTAAATTTAAATTTGATATAACAACGTTATGGAATAATACAACTAGTCATACTCAATATAAAAACGTCTTTTGTTTTGCAGGGCAGTAATTGGAAAGAAAATTGTTAAGTCTATTCTTAACCAACTAATTCCCGAGCCACAAATTCCAGGTCAAAATTTCCTTCTATTCGAAGGACATTGGATCCCACAGGGGAAACTTGATATTTCAATACCAGAAGGGTATATACTAACTCCAACTGTTAGGAAAAATCTTCGAGATATCGCACGAATTATATCACTGGGCCGATTGCCTATTCTTTTACAAGGTGACACTTCAGTGGGAAAAACTTCTTTGATTACTTATATAGCTCGTGCGTCCGGAAACTATTGTGTTCGAATAAATAATCATGAACACACAGATTTACAAGAGTATATAGGTTCATATGCTTCTGATGCTAATGGAAAGTTAGTTTTCCAAGAGGGAATCCTTGTTGAAGCCATGAGAAAAGGACATTGGATCATTTTAGATGAATTGAATTTAGCCCCAAGCGACGTACTTGAGGCTCTCAATCGAGTATTAGATGATAACCGGGAACTATTCATACCAGAAACCCAACAAGTAGTTAAAGCTGATCCTAACTTTATGCTATTCGCAACTCAAAATCCGCCAGGTTTGTATGGGGGTCGTAAAATGTTGTCAAGGGCATTTAGAAATAGGTTTGTCGAGTTGCATTTTGACGAAATACCCAGAAAAGAATTGGAAACTATATTGCATCAGAGGTGTCACGTCCCTCCTGCATATAGTAAGAAGATGATTGCAGTAATGGCGGAGCTCCAAGTGAGAAGACGTGGTTCCGCCGCTGTACAAGGTAAAGATGGATTCATTACCTTGAGAGACTTATTCAGATGGGGTCAAAGATACAAGCATGCTGCAAAAGAAATGTTAACAGATGAAAAATTCTATGATTGGGACCAGCACATAGCCGATGAAGGCTACCTCATATTAGCAGGTAAAGTTAGACAAACTGACGAAAGAACTATCATCGAAGAAGTTATAGAAAAACATATAAAAAGGAAAGTCAGCCCAAACGATTTATTCAGTCTTCATCAGACTACATCGCCTGTAACTAAATCTATTCTTGAAACAATTATTAATAATCAATTGAAAGAGTTTTCTCATGTTGTTTGGACATATAATATGCGAAGGTTGGCTGTTTTAATCGCTAAAGCCTTTACTTTTGATGAGCCTGTACTGTTAGTAGGAGAAACTGGTTGTGGAAAGACCACAATCTGCCAAGTTCTCGCAACTTTGACCGAATGTAAACTTCTCTCAGTCAACTGTCATATGCACACAGAGAGTTCTGACTTTTTAGGTGGTCTTCGACCTGTAAGACAATATAAAAATGACGGAAGGCTGTTTGAATGGGTTGATGGGCCTCTAATAAAGGCAATGCAGGACGGTGATATGTTTTTGGCGGATGAAATATCGTTAGCGGACGATAGTGTCTTAGAAAGACTGAATTCCTTACTTGAGCCAGAAAGGCAGTTAGTATTATCTGAAAAAGCAATGGAGGCTAATTCTGATATTGTAGTTATTACAGCGCATAAAAAGTTTCATATAATCGGAACCATGAATCCAGGTGGAGATTTTGGTAAAAAAGAATTGTCGCCGGCTCTTCGTAATCGATTTACAGAAATATGGTGTGATAATGTCTCGTCTAGAGTTGATTTACTAGTTGTTTTAGAAAAAAGCGTCAGTAGAGGAATTTCTCTAGGAAACCAAGAAGATGGTAGTTCTGGCATTGGCAGCTCTATTTTAGATTTCACTGATTGGTTAAAACATTCTGAAGTGACCAACAAGTTCCCATTCAGCATTCGTGATTTACTCTCTTGGGTGAATTTTATAAACGCTACAGTTGCAAAAGGTCTTCTAGACACTCCTGAAGCCTACGTTCATGGCGCATGTATGACATTCTTAGATTGCTTTGGAACAGCTTTGACAGGCCATATTGATTCAGAAACTTTAGCATTATTGCGTAAAACAGCTATTAATTTCCTTCTAAATCAAATAGAAACTGTCGGAAATGAATACCTTGAGAACTTGAGAGAAATGTTGAGTAATAAACAAACGGCTTTCACCGCTGAATCTGATGTTACAAAGTTTGGTGTAAAACCATTTTATATTGAAGTTGGACCACATAATGATTTATCGAATGAAACACAAAAATTCACTTTCACTGCACCGACTACGGGTTCTAACACATTACGGTTATTAAGGGGGCTGCAGTTGAATAAAGCGATACTTTTAGAAGGGAATCCTGGAGTTGGTAAAACAAGTTTAGTGACTGCCCTTGCTAAATCTTCTGGACATAAAGTAGTCCGTATCAATTTGAGTGACCAAACTGTAAGTATATAGCAGTATTCAATTATATTCAAATATTTAATACCTTAAAATATATTAGTACACATTATTTATTTTTTCTTTTTCCAGGATATTACAGACTTGTTTGGAACAGACTTACCAACAGAAGATGGATCTTTCACATTTAAAGAAGGAGCTTTCTTGAATGCTCTTCAGAATGGAGATTGGATACTCTTAGATGAGCTAAATTTGGCACCTCAACCTGTCTTGGAAGGTCTTAACGCCTGCCTCGATCACCGCGGTGAAGTGTACATACCTGAATTAAGTAAAACATTCAAAGTAAAAGCTGAAACGAGATTGTTTGCGTGTCAAAATCCTTTGAAGCAAGGTGGTGCTCGTAGGGGTCTTCCCATTTCCTTCTTAAATAGATTCACACAAGTATATATAGACACATTGACTAAAGAAGATCTCATGTATATTGTTGAGTCCCAGTATCCAACTTTACCTAATGAAGTACGACGTAGAATAGTGGAATTTAACTGCAAAGTTGCCCATGAGATCACAGAACTTCAATCTTGGGGTCATAGGGGTGGACCATGGGAGATGAATTTAAGAGACATACAAAGATGGTGCGATGCACTTATCTATGATCAAGAAGATGATGGAGTAATATCACCTGGAAAATTTGTTGATATGCTTTATATTAATCGGATGAGGACAGCTGAAGACAAAGAGAAAATGTTGCAAGTGTATAATTCTATTTTTTACCCTGAGTACCCCAGGAGTGATACGACTCCACAATTTGAAATTCACGACAATGAGATTGTTATAGGTGACGTTATAATTAGAAGAAACATGGAAAAGAATTTAAAAAATCGTTGCTCTGTGGAACCAAATTACTTAATTTTAAGGAATCAGTTGTCATCTTTAAAAGCTTTAGCTCAGAGTGTCAAAATGAACTGGCTGTCTATACTTGTTGGTCCGACAGCTACGGGAAAAAGTAGTATTGTACAAATACTCGCGGACTTAACAGGTAACGATCTCCAAGTTATACCTGTAACATCAGCTATGGATGTGTCCGATCTTTTAGGAGGGTTTGAACAGGTCGATCTAAACAGGAATCTTGAAAATGTATTTGATAAAATCGAGAGACTGTCTATACAAATTGTACGAAATATTTGGTTGGCAGAGGGAAACCAGGAGTGGAAGTCAAATAAGTTACTCACCGAATTGTATATTTATAAATCCCTGCAATGCGACAGTACAGACAATGAACCTAGTGACGATATAAATAAATTGAACAAAAAAACACAATTTCTACTGAATCATTGTGAAAAGTTAGCTGAATATAATAAAGCATTTTACATATCTGTTAAACTACAAGAAATAGTAAATAACTTGAAAAAGTTAGCGTCGAAATTATCTCTAGCAACATCAGTAAATGCTGGAGGTAAATTTGAATGGGTAGATTCTTTACTTGTAAAAACCATGATTGAAGGTTCTTGGCTACTTTTAGACAATGTTAACTTGACATCAGCAGCTGTTTTAGATAGATTAAACGGTTTATTAGAACCAAATGGGGTACTTAGTGTACCTGAAAGAGGGGAGACAAGCGAAATAAAACCTCATCCGAATTTCAGAATATTTTTTACAATGGATCCTAAATATGGGGAGATTTCTAGAGCGATGAGAAACAGAGGTGTGGAGATATTTTTGTTACGGTCTGATGAATTGAATGTTAGCTTAACAGAGACAGTGCCCTACATGGATCTAACTGCGTTACTGTTATCTTGTGGTTTACCACAGAATTATCATGACATTTGTATTCAATGTCATGAACTGATGGCATCATTTATTCAAGGTATACATATTACTTATTCTATTTGTTTAAGGGACGTTTAAGAATTACGTAATGCAGTTTGTTTGGGAGGGGTCTTGTAAACCGTTACGATGCGTTACAGGGAAAGGGGTGGGGGTTAGAGATATTCGTACAACTACTTTCAAACATTTTTTTTTATTTAAATAAAAAAAGTATGGGATTAAAATTTTCCAAGTTGGCAACCCTTTTCCTTTGTGTTTTACAGGGAATCCCTCGAATGTATTGTTCTTATTTTTGTTTTATAGAGAGATGGTGGGGGGCACAGAAAAAGTTACGGCGCGTTACATGGGGGTTGGGGGAGGGTAAAAATATTTATAAATTGTGTTACGTAATCCTTGATAGTCTCCTTATTGGTCTTTAGTATATGTTGAAAGTATCAGCTGATTAAAAACTCATGATCAGTAAATCTGTATACACGATAGTTAGATTTCTTTTTTCATAGAAACACCAACAGTATATTACATTGTAATATATTTGCTAATTAAATACTATAATATATATTTTTATATTTTTATTGTACTTTTAGGTTTTGAACGTCCCACAATATCACATTTGCTCCAAGCATCGCATTTAACCTCCCAACAACTAGTGCGGGCAATACCATTCAAAATAGCACTCGTAAGCAGCTTTGCCGACGTTTACATAAAACCAAGGTGTGGGGGTGATTTTGCATCGAACCTTAATACGTCACTTGCAGAAATTAAAAATTCTATGGTCAAAGCCTTGCAGAACAAGTTAGACCAATTTAATTGCAATATATTAGAGTCACATTACGTTCCTCATACATTGACAGTGAAAGGATTATGTAAGAATTCTTCAAAAGAAATTACAAAGCAAATTGCTTATGTCGTGTTGCAACAAATAACAAATACGAAATCTTCTGATTTAGATAACTTGTTATATAGCCTCTTGGCCTTGTTTACCGCATACCAGAAGTGCCCATATCAAGATTTATATATTTTACATGACTTAATTAAAAATAAAATACTTTCATTAAATAATAACAATCATAAGGAAGTGATGAAACAGAAAAATGATGAATTGTTTGAGGATCTTAGTCAGTGCCAAAATGGTATATGTGCGCTTTATAAACGATTTTACCCTGAATCGTATATTTTAGACGAAAACTTCATTAGTTCGACTAATATACAAACTGTTTTAACGTTTAATAAAATTTTGAAGTCTTTAGTAGAGCAAAGAAAGGAATTTTCTGCGATCGACTATTCAATAGCTTTGCGTGCTAAAAATTTGAGCGACGATTTTCCAGAATATCCTATATTGTCTAGATGTCGAGTATATTTGGACACTATCGACTATACTATCATTCGTGCCATTCAATTCAATGGTAGACCAATGGACGATAAAACAGCATGCCATATTCTCCAACTGTTAAACTGGAGACGAAGATTTGCCAACATGTGCTCTATAGGAATATTTATTACCGATAAAAAAGGAAGGAAAACTTTGAACGAAGAAATAGTGAAATTGTTGTATGTACACAGTAAATGGCTGGAAAAGCATCTCTTTGGTGTATTGTTAAATGATGTCGAGCCTCAAATCATAAAGGAATTCTCAATGATTATTGAAAGCATAATGCTAGAAGATGACAAAGAAAATTCAGTGATGAATAAACTAACTAAAAAACTCAGAAAATTATATAACCAACCGAAATTATATAAGAATCAAGGTGAATATGATCTGTGTGTAGCAAGATCGCAGTTTAACAATAAATTAGCTTTGGACTTGAATCAGCCTTTGGATAGACAATTAAACAAACTGTCGACAGATGTCACCGCTATCAATGATCTGTCTCTAGCCTTTGATGTACCCGATAAAAATTCGTTAATGCTAATTGAAGAAAATGTTATAAAAACGATGGAAAATATAAATCCATCAAGTAAAGTACGATCAGAAATAAAGCTACTACCATTAAAAACGTACATTTTACAAAGAGTGCTGTGTATTTTGAGGCAAGATTTTTTGAAAATATTTAGCAATTTATCTTTAATAGAAAAGGAAGAGTTGATGTTGCGATCTAAAGTTGTTGATATATTAATAAATGTTATACATATCAGCAAGACGACTAAAGGACTATCACCAACTCTAGTGAATATGTTGGTTGCCATTGAAAAGCTCCTGAGTGCCAACTCTGATGAATTACAGGAAAGGTAAATCAGATTTAAATGATTAATTTATCAAATACTAAATAATTTTTGTATGTTATTCTTGTATCCCAATGATATTAGTTGTTGTTGATAAGAGTATTCGTAATTTTTGCTTACAGAAGTGTGGCAACGTCGCCATCGAATTTTCTAAAATAATTTAACAGTTTTCAATGTTTCTGACTGATTATTTAAATCCAAATAATAGCTAACTGAAATATATATATAACCAAAGAATACATTGCATATATAGATTTATGTTATATGTCTATTGAAACTACTACTACTTCACATTTTGTTTCGGATTTTTTCAAATACATCTGCAATTTCTTTATTACTGCGGGTGTCTATGGGCAACAGTAATCTCTAATCATGTGAATATTATAGCGGAGAAGAATAACTATGTACATTCTATTATAACTTAATACTCTATATTCCACTTATCCCTCTAAGGCACCAGGCATAATGTTGAAGGGCTGCGGTAAATAGTGCTTTATAGAGTATTCTGGATAAAATCTTCATTCCAGGTTATCATCGCTACCAGTTCGCTTCTGGGATGAATTCTACCGTGCACTTGTATTTTCTCCCGCGTTTTATCCATTAGCATTTTTCGATGCAAGTGGAGCTACGACCAGTGATGATATTGCGGAGAGTGTGCCCACTAATGGAAATAGAATGTCTGCTAATCTCCCATTACTCCCGTATTATGTACAGAAATTGACACTATCTGTTAATAACGAAGGTAAATTATATTTATTTGTATATAGTTAAATATTAATAATTTCACTAAAATTCAGTATCACTATATGTATTGTATATGTATGAAGATTTTTATTTTTATGCAAGTAAGAATGGCAAACTAACTGACAGCCCGAGGGTAGAAAGTGGTAACCGTCGTTTATAGACATGAACAGTACCATAAACATAATAGAGTGTACTGTGTTGCCTATGATACCTTTCAGGCGTTGCTATTCCTGAAGACTAAGGTTTTATGCCTCTGTAATTTCATTGTCACATCCTACCCTTCAAACTGAAACAGCCATGCAAACAACTCATGGTATTCCTCATGTAACACCATTCCTGAGGACTAAGGTTTTATATCTCATACTCCTGTAATTGAACTGCCATTTTGGGATATGATAGTGAAACCGAAACGGCAAATACAGCTGCTTCACGAGAGAATGTCGATTGGGACAGAGATACCTAAATAGATGATTTATTAATAATACACAATATGATATACAATACAATAATATAATACATGATTTATTTATTTTCTAGATTGCCGTCATATGCCAGCATATGAGACGGTGTCTCTGGAAGACCGTGCTAATTACAGCATACAGTTGGATAACATCCTGAACATTATTTTTAAGAACATTGTCACATTGGACACTATTGCTAGCTTAAAAATGTAAGTGTGCTTTCCTTTACTCCTTTATTTTAATTGACAGATGTGGAGGACCCCCCCCCCCCCCACAGACACAACGTATCAGGTATCACCGATTTAAATAAAAAAATAATTGAATAGAATGATGATGTTTGATTAAAATGTTATTTAATAATTTGTATATATGTGCATGCGTATTTGAATACCTATATGTATGTGTTTGTGTTTATTATAATCTTGTTTCTCCTATAATGAGTTATGTTTCGTTAACAGTTAATTTATAAACATTTATTTCTTATTTTCATTTACAGAAAGTCAAATCTCGAATTCGAAATCAATAAATATGAACAACTACTTAATTACTTACATTCAACATTGACCCAAACAAACTCAAACGAAGCACAAAATACAGATAAAGTCGTCAAAGAAATAATAGAGCAATTACAAATGAAGATTCCCAAAGAGAGTCATTATTCAAATTTGATTGTGGAAGCTGAGAATATTTATAAAAAAATAATGAATTTACTACACAATGAAAAGTTTGATTTCACTAAGATGAACATATTGATAGCTCAGCTCTCGTTACTGACGAGTATCTTATTTACAAAACTGCTGTCAGAAATTAAACCAGTTGATCATGTTGAGAAACACAAACTCAAATTGAAATATATCGAGGAGGATATAAAATTGTTTGACGCTTTACTCAGCACTTATTATATTCACGGAGTGGTCACTGGCAGTTTACCAGAGAAAAAGAAAGTGGAAGTCGCATCAGACGTAAATAGTGAAAGTTTGAATGTGAACAAAAGTGGTTTGATCAAGGTACACCCATATTGCGCCGAATTGATTAAACTAAAGGAAGAAACGGCGAAGAGAGTGCATAAGTATGCATTAGACAATACATTTAGGCCTGAAACTCCATCTTATAGCCAATTTGTTATGGTGAGGTTTATTTTTTATTTATTTACTAGCTATTGCATGAATCAGTATATGAAGTAGCCTATGTGTTAAGTTAGTGTATAACCTACCCATCTATCAAATTTTATTCAAATAATAAACTTTTTCGAGACCCAAAGAGGGTTGACGTCAGACAGGCGGTCGGTCGTAAAACTATAAGCTTTTGTAATATGGATAAAACCATATTACGCCGACCCCAAATAATAATTGGGATAAGGGTAGGAAGATGATGATGAATAAACTTTTTCGTTTATAATATTATGGACTAGTAGAGAGATCCGATTATCAATGCGCTCCTTTAGAATTTCATTTTGTATATAGGAAGAATAAAAGGATCTCCATACAATTGAGAACATATTAATTTTTTAAAGACCGGCAGCACAACCACATTTTCTCATGAGCGATGGTAGTCACTTACCGTGCGATGAACCGCATGCTCGTTTACCTGCAGTTATGAAAAAATACATACATTTTGCTCTCTGTAATATCGTGACGGTAAAGTCGTGTGTTATTGCACCGTACTAAATGCCCAATAAACTGTCCACCTAATGTAATTTAAAATTTTGTTCCATAGTATAGTTCCTCATACAGGCAGAATTAAAAAATTTAAATTCACATACTCGATGTATTTTCACAGTTGGTCTTATGTATTGTCTACACTTATAAATTACATTTAATTTTTTTAATTCCAGGATTGCAAATACTTCAAAAAATCTATACTTTCACCAAAAACAACACAAGACTTGACAAGGAATCTGATAAATATATCCAATACTTTATTGAAAGGATTAGAAACCCAAAACTGTCAAGTGAATGATATAAAGAATGCGCATACGATTATCAAAGAGACAACATCTTGGTTGTTCTCAGTCAATGCATTTTATAATAAACTGCAGATATATTCTGAAGCTTTTCCAGACTTAGCGAAGCTGTTACAAAGTTCTATATCACAAATTGTATACAGTGTTACATCACTTAATGATTTGATCAGAGAACTGACTGTAAAGATAGAGCAAGGGCCGGTGTTAATGGGTGTCGCGTGCGATTTGTTGGTATATCCGAATTTCATACTAAAAGATGAAAAGAAACAATATCTTGAGAGATTCATTACGAACAAGTTCAGAACGTTGCTGAGTAGAAATATAGTTGCTGCCAATGAAATCTCGAACGATGTCGAATTTGAGAATATTCAGTTAGTATTTATTATAGTTACTTGTGCTTTTTAAACATTTGCTTCCCTTATAAAAGTCACGTTAATGTTATTATGTAATCATATTGTAATAATTGCTTGTTTTAAAAAAAATATAACCCCGCCTGCACTAATGGTATATGCTGGTGAAGCACCAGTGAGGAATGATAGGTGACAATGTAAAGCAGGTCAAATAGCTTATCGTGATGAATACACCTGGAATTCAGCACGATGGTTTCCAGGGGAAACCGCATAGAGGTCGACCTGACTAACAATGCCCTCAATGATTTTTTTTTATACAACTTAAAATGGCAAACAAGCTGACGTCCCATCTGATGGAAAGTGGTAACCGTCGCCTATAAACATGAGCAATTAGTTAAAACAACAATCTTTTACTAAATTTTGAGTTATTTTGCAGGAGTCCACATCATCTCTATTTGCAAATTATTTTATTAATTAATTAATTCTAATCTACTAACCAGTAAAATTACTGTCTCATCAATTTATATATAACTCTCTGTAAGTTAATTAATGTATTTAATCCATCAACCATTTGATCAATTATTAATTCATTGAATATTTATTAATCAATACAGAGTGTTGAAAATGAATTTGGCCGAATTAAAGATATATTACGCAGCATCGGAGCGTGTTGATGAGGCTACTTTAAATTGCATTTTGTTGACGCTTAACATGCTAGTGGAAGCATGGCAGAAGCAACAACAGCAATTAGAGCAGAAGAAGCAAGACGAAGAAGCGTTATATGTCACCAAGTAAGTGTAATGTTTATAAATGATAAAATATAATTACAAGGTTTTTCATTGTATGGATGACGAAAAAGATATACTTACTAGGTAGATGAAGAAGGATGCAGGATCAAGATCCAGAGGGTATTCCTACCATGTACTCTTATTTAATTAATAAATTAAACTTGCATGTCTATAATTTTAAGTTAATTAAACGGATGCCAAAAAGTTCTGTCACGTGTCTTTATTATCTTAAATGTCTGTTTAAAGTAAATAAATATTTCATTTCATGATGAAATATTGGACTGTTTAAAAGTACAGGTTACAGTATAGACATAAAAAAAAGTTATATATATGTGATATGAATTATAAGAGACCACAGTTTCTAGAGATCCCGCAAGGAATTTTCCGTGAAGATATTATTAGACAGATGATTATAAAACTAATATAAACTAATTAGATTACTGGCACAACTTTAGCTGCCACTTAAATACTCGTTGCTTTATTTTTAATGAGTAGTTGATTCAGAGAAAGTCGTGTGATCTGAACATAAGAAAGATCTATGCATAAAGTTGTGTTAAAAAAAGTTCTTATTTATAAATTTTTTAGGTCAAAATGCGAAGATGAGAACGAAGAAGAAATGGCTGAACAAGAAATAATAGAAATGTTCCCGTCATATTCAGACACCGATTTCGGTGAATTTAAACCACCGACTCTCGAACAGAAAACCAAGAAGACCCAAACTGTTGATAATAAACAAAAACTTTCGATAAACCAAGAAGATGTGTCATTGGTTTATGAATGGCATTCAATGTTTGTTCGAAATGTAACTCGGGCGGAATGGTTACCGTGTCCCAAGAAATTGGTCGGTTGTAATGTAGTAAATCCATTACTGCAGAGGTATCCTACATTTAGCCGTATAATGCAGAATACTTGGGAAGCGTTAGACGCACCTTTTGAGAGATTTGTTACACCCAGTTTGATGATACTTGTGTCGCAAATAAAAGCTAAAGTGGACGGCAATGGTAAGGAAAAGATTAATGCATAATCGAAATGAATATTACTAGCTGTATCCTGCAGTTACGCCCGCGTTAATCAGTACATAATGTATCCTATGTGTGTGTGTATTAAATTTCATTCAAATATATTCAGTATTGTTTACTTGAAAGAATAAACACTGGATATGTTTATTTTTTTAAGCAAAAAATACTGTCTATCATTACAAAGTTTCACACATATTAATAGGATTTACAGTAAATTTAAAAATATATAAATTTTCCTACCTACTAATTTATAATTAAAATTCCATTTTTAAAACTCCTAAAATAAAAATAACTAATTAAATATAAATTAACTAATCAGGGGCCTAATATTTCTTTTATTTAAAATCACAACATTGAAATTTTTAAATAATGATATAAATGCTAAATATTAGGAAAAAAGAAGTATTATTACTGTTAGTATATTATTTTACACTATCCATACGATAACAGAATAACAGTATCAAAAACATAATTTACAGAGTCGTCGAGCCAGAAAATGGACTTCTACCGTTCAGCGTGGGTGTCGGAAACAAGACAGTGTGTTCCGTTACTTTACAAAGTAAAGGAAGCGACAAATGAACTTTTGGATCAATGGCCAGATTTCCCCACTCTGAAGGACGTAAGTAATTTTTTATTTTTTAAAATGAAGCAGGTTCTCTATTCTACGGTTTTTATATGTTACGCAATATCGCAACCCGCCACGGATTCACACGGGTGCAATAATTGTTTGTGTAACTTTAAATTGTTCAACACATTTTAGTAAGGCTAGTGTATGTAAAAATCGTGTGTGAAATTACTACACTAATATTCTCTTAAAATTTTAAAATGAACGACTTTTTTATGTGAAAGTAAAATAAATTTCACTTTAACATAAAAATAAAAACCCCCTTTTTGGCCGAGATATTAAACTTAGATATATGTTGTCGTGGACTTGTTTTTTTTTATAACTTAAAATTAATAATAATTCGTACTATAGATTATATTCCTTTTTTTTTTAAACAGGTCAAACCGCTGCTAAGCCGGCTGTATGCCATGTTATAGAATTTTTGCTGACTTCAATTATATTTATTGTGATTAATTATTGAACATATATGTTTACTAAAATAAAGGGTAGTCTATAGTATTCAAGGATAATATACCTTTTTAACAATGAAAGAATTTTCAAAATCAGATTAGTAGTATCAGAGTTTACCCTGAACATCCAAACTCACAAATTTTACCTCTTTATAAAATTAGTATAAGTAATAACAATTTGTGGATCATAATTAACATTTTTTGTAGGATATGGATTTGGATACTCCTATTGTAATTAACATTTAGACTGCTTGGTTTTCTAGTAGTTGCCATACCCCTAGTGCTTAACCTAAATCGAAAAAATTTCACTTTCTTTGTTTTTTTATTTATTTTTAATTTGACTGACATTTTTATTACAGGTTTTTAAATATTGCAGAATTACATTTTATTTTCTGTCTCTGTTTCTGTCTTACTATACAACAACTACTATCGTAGATATACACAAGTTTTTTGTCAAACAAATCCGACTAAAATCGTAAATTTAAAGTATATATGATTTAATCGAGCTACGATTTAGGTTAATATGTGCCCCCACATATTTAAATTTTTTTAACCCAAAAATGGCAACCAGGTATGCAGCCTATCTGATAGTTAACGGTCACTATAGCCTGTGAACGTCTATAGGTCCAGGGATATCATTTACGCGTTACCGGTTCTAAAGTAACCTTAAACGCCTTTTTTTTTTAAGAAACACCATACTGTAGAATCCCTTGCAATGTATACTAAGATAAACCAATCAATGTGTTTGTATATAACATAATACTTTTTTTTTTTCAGATAATGGTAATAGTGAACAGAATCCTCAGCTTCCCTCTGTCAAGTCCTGTTTCCCGCCTCCTCACTGGCTTGGAACTTCTCCGGGATAAGATTGAGGAGTGGAACAAAAATGCCCATAAGGGCAATAACATGATAGATATCTCGCTGGCAGTCGGACAACAAATTGTCAATTGGAGAAAATTGGAAATGTCACACTGGAAGGAGTGCCTCAATAATCTATATGACAGGTATTTGGTTAATAATGTAAATTGAATTTTATGATTCTATATCTAAAAATTTAATGGCCGAGGGATGGGCAGCAGCATCCCTCTTAAAACATCACCAAATCCTTATTGTGGTTGCCAAGCCACTGGACAAGTATGGCAACTACCAGTATGGGTTTGGCCAACCAAACTCCCCTTATAGGGGAGGCCAACATATCAGTAGTGGACAATTAAAGGCTGATATAATAATAATGATAATGGTGATGATGATATTTCAAAACGTAAAAATGGAATTAACTTAAATTCACTTTGCTGGCTATCCCTCCGTCAAGACTATAGTTGTCCAAACAACCAAGTGCACAGTTCCTACTAATATTATAATGTTCCTAAAAGTCTAACATTTAAACAGCTTTAAAGATTTGACAAAAATTTTGTATATAGATAAGTTATATCCTAACTTAACATATATGACTACATTATATATTAATGCATGTACACAAAGGTGCGGGAAACAGCTAGTAACTAATAAATGTGGTCATCAAGAGTTATTTATTTGATTACTAATATTATATATGTGAAAGTGGATTTGTATGTTACCTCTTGACTCTTTAGTGTCTCCAACATTTGTCATGTTTAGTTGAATTTTAGTAGTAGCTACTTTTTATACTTACTAGTCGATATTTTCCAGTAAAGCTGGTTAAGTTGTGTGTTAAAATTAGTAATTAAATAAATCTATAAATATGTAGTAATGTTTTTTTCATATTTATTGTATAAATTGTTCTTATTGTTCAAATTACAGGAAACGTTCAGAAGCTCACAAATACTGGTTCTATATGTATTCCGTTGTCACATCGTATTTGGATACCGATGCTGATGAGCTCGTACCACCATCTAAAGTGACGTCCGTACTCAACGAGTTTATGGAGAAATCCAATCTTGTCGAGTATGAAGTGAGACTGGATATAATATATGCATATCATTGTCATTTGGTGCATTTGGAACCCAGTGATAGAAGAGGTATTTTGGTTTTAGCATCTACTATATTTTATTTATTTATTCATTAGTACAAATATGTGTACATGGCGGATTTAATGCTAAAAGCATTCTCTTCCAGTCAACCATAGGGAAGTGTCAGAATACTCGAATGCGGTACTAGTAATTATTGATATACATACATACTAAAATTACATATATAAACGAATAAATATATATGAATAACAAATATACTTACACATATATGATATATACTATATTATACACGAAATTGATTTATTATGTATATAATATATTGCCTTGTGGTCTCGGCATAGAATAGGCCACCCCTTTCCCGTAGGTGTCGTAAGAATTGACTAAGGGTAGGCGAGGGATGGACAGCAGTGTTCCTCTTAAAACATCTCTAAAAAAGCTTGACTGCGGTTGCTAATCCGCCTTCTGAGCGTGGCAACTACTGGCAACACTCCCCAAGGGGGAGGCTCATTCAGCAGCGGACAGTTAAAGGCTGATATGATGATGATATCGTGTTTAATGTATTCAGAGAGAAAAAAAAAATGGAAAGAAAAGTTTGAATGTACTGTGGATATTAATGTGAAAAAAAAAATATTCAAAATAAACATTTCAATACTTGCATTTTATATGATTAATAAAATCATGATATTAAAATTGTAACTATTTTTTTTTAATAAACAAGTATCATAAAGGAAAGACCACCTACATTTTGTTATTTGATAAGGGTATTGAGTTAAGGTATCTATAATAATTGAATGCTTATACTCGTGTATCCTAAATTAATATAAGGCCCACGTGTACTGCTATTTTATGTTGTTCTTCTGATAAATGTTTAAAACTATACAATTATTACTGTAATGACTGCATAGTTTAATAATTAATTGATTCAAAAGTGGCATGTTACTTATTATTCCTAAATATTAATACAAAATATATTAATTTCAGATGAATTATTATCAATTTTATGGAATACGTATAATTACTATTCGCAATTTAGCGCACAAATTACCGCTCATTTAAAGGAGAAACGTGCGCCAATCGAAAAGAAGTTGCGTGACTTTGTTAAAATATGCACTTGGGACAGGGATCTCAGCTATTGGAGTGTTAAAGATACAGTGGAAAAGGCTCACAAAGCTCTCCATAAACAAACAAAGGAATTTGAGGTACACAAAAATTATAAAAAATATTTGATTTAGTTTGGTATCTATTAAATGTATTATTGGTTATGTTATGGGTGGATAAGCAAAAACAAAAATGCCGTGTGGTCCCGGCATAGAATGTGCTGCCCCTTCCTTTTCTGTGTGTGTCGTAAAAGACAATTAAGGGAACTTAATTGTTGAGGGATAGGCAACAATGTCTCTCTTAAAGCATCACCATTATCCTTATGGGGTTGATAACCCATGGCTTCTGGTAAAATCCCACTTATGGGTAAAGCCTATGTTTAGCAGTGGACAGTTAATATATCATAAGACACATAATATCTAACTATTGACTGGGAATATCCACTCCGCAGTAGATATTAATTGGCTATTCATAGTATGTATTTTCTCATGCAAGTGATTTGTGTAAAATTTTTAAGAGAAATCAATATATTAAATCGTATATTTAAGGACAGTAATTAACTGGGTTATTACAGAATGTTCTCAAAGAGAGTGTGACCAGTTGTCTAGTGGATAACAGTAGTGATGACAACACAGACCACGTCGGCATCTGGGATCGACCGAAACGTGCTGCGAGCGCGCCTGTAGGCGGGGCCTATATGATCGACGTACAGAATTTCTTACTGCTCACAAGAAATATTAAGGTGAGTTAATGTACTTGTAGTATATTTACGCAATACAGTAAAACTTGGCAATCCCTGTTCCTTTTCTGAGTTGACTTCTAAATAAAGTGTATCTATCTATTTATCTTTTCCCCACGCCTCTAATATGTCTCAAATGATTATCGATAATTTGAAAATAGAACACCGAAATTAGGTACATAGACGATCATTTACTGCTACAGTGATAAATGTGGAATTAGTTTTTTTTTTTGTTAAATATATATTACTATTATATTATTCTAAGAAATAACCAAATATTTACCTTTAAAAAAGTTATGGGAAAGAGACTACTAAAGCTCTTGTTTCCTCCTTTTTTGCCAATTGCAAAAAGGAGGTTCTCATTCAACTGTATTTTGTATAACTTCAAATTTATGAAATGAAAGATCAATACTTGTTTTCCTTTAGTTCTATAATACAAGTATTTATTGATACACAAATTAATGTTTTTTTTTTCTTTTTAATTTACAGCACTTACAGGTAGTATAATATTTATAAAATCGTTTTAATGTTGCTTTTAGTATGTTGAAATTAATTTGGTGTAGTGGATATTGGATGACGAATGAAACAATGTAACAATAGTAATCAGCCAGATCATTAGCTGACTTCTGATATCAGCCAATAGATTTGATTGTATAATTAAATGCATTTTATAAATCTATGTCTAAAATTGAAATTTTCATATCATGATTTAACGAAAGATGGATGTGCAAGAACTAAATTTAAAGTAGTTTCGGGACAAATTGCAATAACGATTACCTTGTAATTGAAACTTAAATTTAAAATTAAAGTTCCATAGTCGACTAGGTATAGTCATATTTTGCTTTTATATGTAATTATTATCTTTCATATAGTCCATCCACCTTTTATTTTGCTGTTCATTCCATTTATGTGGTACATGTGTCTTTTTCATGTGGTACATACGTCTTTTTAAGTAGTATTTGGTGTTGTATACTAATTTATGGAGTATAGTCAAATAATTTAAATAATAATAATAATCTTCCTATTGGTACTATTATTGGATAGTAATAAATGTCATTGTAATTTGTTTATTGTCTAACACATTATGGTGAGGTTTTGTACTTGTGGGTATGTTATGTAAACAATAGCCATTTTTTAAAAGAAAATAGAAGAAAAAATAGTAAGATTTTAAAGATATTTTCGCCTTTACAATCTTTCTATAATATTTGCCTTTGTAATTACTAGTGCAGTGTCTTATGCATCTTCAAAATTTTCCGATGGACAGAGGACATGTTTTCCTATCATACATAGAGGTATTGCTAAATTCAGATTTTTCTTCAGAAATACCTAGACAACGCTGACCAACCAAGCCAGGCCATACCCGATGGATCCCTCTTATCAAAGGTGACGAATTTGCTGAATAAAGCGAAGACTCTGTGCAAAGACACCATGACGAATTCCAGTTATCCGTCATTAGTTCAGGGGTTGGATGACTTCGTAACGCTCGTCATTGAGACCAGCACCCATTTAGGATCGTTAGAAGTAAGGGATCCATGTAAAACTTGTTAACATTATGAAATTGTCATCCTTTAATATTTTTCTGTGCTCACTCGTTTACATACGATAATTATAGATAATTTATTCATATTTTTGTTATTCTTAATTTTATTAATGTCTTAAGAAAATATTGCGTCCATCTGCAATTAGTGTATATGCAAGAAGCAAAACCCTTTTTATCGATTAATGTTAAAGATTTCCTAAAACAGTAACTGGCTGCAAAATACGAAATTTATACAAATTTTATTTATTTTTTATTTTGTAATTAAATTATTATTTGATTTAAAATGATAAAGGACACTAAATAGCCAAGCATATATATAATATATACAATATTTTAATGTGGTAATGTGCGTTAATATTGATTTCTTGTAAGAGATCTGTAACCATTAGTAGGACTTTATTGACTTGTTATTATAGGTTACGCCCTATAATACCACGAGTAGGTTACAAGCCGTCGGTTTTACGAGCCCTCCCTTTTACAGCTCAAGCATAAAACAATTGATAATGTTTTCTACATACTTCAAACATACATTTCAACATTTAACTCTATATTCAGGTGGATTCGACTCTACCCAAGGAGAAACAAACATCCCAAGCAAAGAGTATAATACAACAAAAACGCAAAGCTCTCGCGGATTTGTTTAAATACCTATCTAAAATGGGCCTCAACTACCGCACTGGTCTTGTCATATTGGCTTCCAATGACGATTTATATGACTTCACCATTCCACCTGTGGACTTGGATGCCGCTATGCAGTATTTAAAAAATAGGTATGTTTTAATTTTATTAATCACTATATGACACATTGTATCACCTACAACGCCATTTATTAAATGTAATCCGAAGTAACGTTTCCCGCGCAAAATTATCTATTTTAACTTTAAAAAATTCCTAAAAGAATTCCAGACTATCCTTTGTACTGTTTGTATATTTGGTAGTGTGTATATTTAATAGATATAATTTGTAACTGAAATATTAAATTACTTTTCGACTTTTGTGGATTAGAAAACATTTAGACCTTTAGAGAACTTTTAGAAAATTAATTTCGCATAACGGATATTTAAAAATTTAACTTTTTTTTTATTATAGACGTTGTGACGCATCTCTATCACTTTTGTGGTTGGGCTGTGAGAAGTATTTCCAGAAGAACATAGCACGACATCGGCTACTCACCGCCGCACTGCTCACCCCACACAAAGACCTAGGTATTCAGAACATTGAACGGTGCAAAGGGTTCGCCGCACAATTGCTGGTATGTATTGTACGATATATTATTAGTATTTTGGTAGTCATTTGGAAAATAAACCTGAATAAGAATAAATGTGTAGGTATACTACGATATAATGTCTGTAAATACTTGTAACTTTTTTGACACTAAAATTCTGTGATACTATTATCTTAAAAGTTGGACTGAATAAATTCCCCATAAAATGTAAAGAAAATACTTAATTGCAGCTCTTAAAATATTTATGAGAATATTTTTAAAATTTTATGTAGAAACTTTGCTAACTTTTTTTGCGATTTATGAAGTTACGTTATTTTAAAATTATAAATGTAAAAGTTTGTAAAAATGTTTAGATGTTTGTTATTCAATCACACTTAATCTCTTGATTGGATTTCAATAAAATTTACACAGATAGGTTATATTCTAATTTCATGTGTGTTACATTGGATATTTTATATATCGATCGACGGGGGTCTACTCCTGCAGGAGATAACTAGTATAGTAGAAATTGTAAGCAGAACTGCTGGAATTTTCACTTGACTTTGCCCATACAAAGTGATGTCTTACAAATAACGTAATGAAAAAGATTAACTAAAAGTTAAATAAAGGTTGGCAGTAAGAGATCCTTCTATGGAATAAGTCCGCAATGGATATTAAATCTTTTTAATGTATCCAATGTAAAGTTCAATAAATAAAATCGTTCTATTTACGTATTTCAGAAATTGACAAACACTCAAAAGAAATCAATATCAAAGTATTCGAGGTACCTTTCCGATTTACGTACAGTCACTACAAACCTGACGAATGCTTTAGAAATAAGCACTGTTACAAATATATCGACAGTGAATCAAAAGCTTAATATATTGGCCGAGTGTTACACTAACATTGTTATATTATTAGAACAGTTCAGCGTGTTGCTAAAATCGTGCCCGGAAAGAGGCATCGATTTAGAATCACATCCCAATATCGATGCTGTACTCTCGAATTCTCCCATAGTGCATTGCTACAAAAACAACGACGAGTGGCATGATTTGAACAAAAGAGTGAAATTTATTCTATTAGATGTAAATAAACAAAAAACAGATTTGAATAAGTTAACCATTAGTCCCAAGAAAATTGGCAAATGCAAACAAAATTTGCCAGTAATTTCACAAAGTCACGTTGATATTGCAAATGAAGCCAAAACTAAACTAGAAAAAATTGCAAACGATGTTAAAAGTATACTGCAGGAATACCAAATAAAATTCCATTCTGAAATTAATAAGTATGCAAATTGTCACCCGATGATGAGAAGTATTGTTGAATTAGAAAAATATTTAATTGATACAATCAGTTTGATTGATAAATTAGATAACTGTAATGACGTTATAATGGAAGAAGTTTCGATTAACCAATTGACCAACAAAACAGAAGATTTATTAGCGACTATGTTGCTAATTATTCAATCTATGTATAAAAAGCACTTGCCGCAATTGAGTAGCGATAGTGTTGAAGTATTAGACGCTATCGACGAAATTATTGACAGTGGAAATAAGGAAAAAGAAGAATCTAAAGACATTCTAGAAGATAATCATTTGAAGGAACTTTTGCAAGAGAATTTAACTAATGATGGAAGAATGCTTCAGTTAGAAACGCTAATAAATAAAACGAATGATTTATTAAGAGACTATCTACAATTAATGTGTAATAAATTAAATGTAGATCAAGGGAAATATGCCGTCATGAAATTGGTTCCAATATTAGAACAAACTGTATTGTTTGTCCAATATTTTGTCACACAGAAAGTGGCTGTCCACAGGGTGTCTTGCAAAATGTTATCAGTATTATTAAAAATATTCTCAGATTTAGCAGCAAAAGGGTAAGTTATTAAATTAAAACAACTCATAGATGTTTCAGATATATATTTTAGATCTTACTTAAAGTTTTTTTGATTGACATAAATACAAATATATTTGATTCTGGGTTATATTGCAACACGTATTTCGTAATGAAAAGTTTTTTTAATAATTCTAGCAACAAATAAACTATAGCTTGGATACTATCAGATGGTGATCCAGTATTGTACTATTTCCTATCACGTACTATAAAAATGTGGAATAATCTATTGGGTATATTTTAGATTTTGCAAACCATCCGACTTAGATACGGAAGAGGGCGAAGGCGATGGGGGCCCTGGCAAACTAACAGGAGGTGTCGGTCTTGGCGATGGAGAGGGACAAAAAGATATCTCTGAACGAATCGAGAATCAGGTACTTATTTATTTTTACGTTGTGTATTTCTGTAAAATCATGTTAGTATCGTACTTACATTTTACTTACATTTATGTTCATTTGGAATTTGATTGGATTTTTAAGTCTAAGTATACAGTTATAAATATATAGAATCGAACATCAAAGCTTTCCTTTTTTGTACAATCTCCCTTTGGCATATTATTAATAAATATTTTTTATTGGTTACTTTATTTGTAAAAGGATCAATTAGATGACGCCCATCGTCCCGGAGAGGAGAAAAAAGAAGAGGAAAGAGATTGCAAAGAAGAAGAGAAAGGCATTAACATGAGTGACGACTTTGACTCACACTTGCAAGATGTTGAGCAGAAAGGTATTTAATGTGTTTTATATTTTCAAAGTTAGATTGATGATATGAGTAAACTTAATAAAGTACAATGAAAAAAAATAAGAAGTTTAATAAAATTTGTAAAAATCTTTACATTATAACTACTGCGTTAAAATTTTCAAATTTAATTCCCCAATATGTGACATGATGACAGTCTAAAATACAATTTTCTACTGCTTTGTTTGAATATTATAAATAAGAAGGTGTTCAGATGTTTTAATGTTTATTACTGAATTACTATAATAAATAAATAAGTTTAATCAACTTCATGGTTGTCTCTTAACTTTGCTTCTTATGTATTTTTTTGCATATATACTTGTGGATCATTCATTGAGAGATACATTAGTTTTTTTATTCATTCATTCGTCGACATATTTGAATAGTATTTGCTATTTGTATGAAACATATTCTCGATTAAACATATTTTTTCTTCAAATTCACGCGAGCAATACTGCGGATTGCAACTAATAAGTTGATTCAGTAATGGTTTTCTTTTAGAAGGAAATGATTCTGAACAAGAGGATGATGAAGATGACGCTGACAAACAAATGGGCGAAACCGATAACGCTGCTGAAAAGTACGTAACTAACAGTAATAAATGTTATTAACAATTATGTAAATTATCGCATTTCTCACTCTTGTTTCCAAGCTATGAGTACAATATGTGAAAGCTATGTCTGCAGTCTGATGATACTTTAGTATCTGTCTATATATTACCATATTTTTTGTCAAATAGTCTTATATAAAAGTATACGAGTGGTATATGTATCTAATTACTTATCATGCACTTCATTATGGTAAATAAAATTATTGAATCTGATTTATATTATTGCTTTAATTATAACTCAAACAAAACGTTAGAACATTTTATGACATTAAAAAATATTGTTATTATTAATGATTATTGTTAAAATTTTCTTAAAATAGGCTCGACCAACAAATCTGGGGTTCTGAAGACGAGGATGACTTAGATGAAGAGCAAAATAATACAAAAGATAAAGAAGAGAAAGGAAAAGGCGAGAGTACTGGCGAGAAAGAAATAAGTGCTAAGGAAGAGGAACAAGGTACCGATGATGGGGAAAAAGGGAAAGAAAAGCAAAAGAAAAAGGATATCAATGAAATGGAGGAACCTGAGATTGATGATGATCATGTAAGTGATGTTTATGATGTTATTTTTATTCAAGATGTGGTTCCTTGAGTGTCCATAAAAAATTAAAATGTATATTTGCAATGAATACTAATTTGAAGTTTTGTGACATTATTGCCAGGTTGACCCATACCATGGTAAGCAGCAACCTCTTCCAGAACCAGAAGACTTTGAAATGCCAGATAACATGGATGTAGACGGAGATGAACGAGATGATGATATTGTAAGTATGTGACTAATAATTTTGACATGATCAGGTTCATAGTCAGTGTTATGTTCAGAACATAATGAAATATTTTAGAACTAAGTATATAAAATAAAATGTATAATAAATAGGTGGGTTGAAGAAAATATCTTATTTGCCTCGGGTAAGTAGTCTTTATATCGCTCCACTAGTTAACCTCAGTCAGTCGAAACTGAAATTTTTTATATTTCCCATAAGATTATGTAATCCATAGGTTATTAGTAAGATGATCGTAAGAAGCACTAGTTTATAAACAAAACAATTTAGATACTGGAACTTTCCAGATCATGGTTGGCGATATCTGACTTGATCTGTCATTGTTATAGACAGTTGCTACTTAGCATTTACCTTTTATTACTATAATTTTTAAAATACTTTGTCTGTAGGATGGTGAAACAGAGACAGAAAATCCGTTTGACATACCAGTAATTGCCGAGGATATGCCAGATGATAAAGAAGACAATAAAGAAGAAGAGAAAGATAACAAAAATGGTTTAGAAGTTTCAAGCGACGAAGAGGATGGCGAGGAACAAGATAATGACCAGATGGTACATTTTTATATACTTAAAACCCATACATTGAATAATAAATCTATTTGAAAAAGGAGGTTATCGATTCGGTTGTATTTTTTTTTATGTTTATTATTTTCTTATACTTTATTATATGCAACTCTCTAACTGTAACCTCATAACTCTATCAATTCTAAACCAATTTGAATTTGTTTTTTGTGCGATACGATCTTTAATTATTTTTATAATAATTATGTTTTGTATTTCATTTTTATGCATCTATTTATTACAGGAAAAAGATGAATCAGATAAACCAAATGAAGATCAGCCTGAAAATACAAATGAAGAAGAAAATCAAGAGGGTGATAAAAATGATGAAGTCACTGAAAACGAAGATCAAGGCGAAAACTTAGAAGAAAATGCCGACGAAGAAACACCTGACAAGCCAGAAGAGAATCTACCCAAGAACCCCGATGATATAGATAAAGAGGACGAAACAGAACAGAAGAATCTCGAAGCTAATCCTCAAGCGAATCCATCGAACAACGATCCATCAGCAGAAGACAGAGCTGAGAACGCCGAAATGGATAGAGGAACGAATGATAATGTTGAAACTAATGCTGAACAACTTAAAGATGAGGAAGCACAACCTAAAGTGAGTATTTATTGTTCAAAAATGCCATAATTTATAGTAAGATTCAGTTTCCATATCAGCCATTAACTGTCCAAGGTTGTACATAAGCCTCTCCCTTTTAGGGTGTTTTGCCAGTAGTTGCCACGCTTGGTAGGCCGGTTGGCAATCACAATTAGGCTTCGGTGACGTTTTAAGAGGGACGCTGCTATTTATCTCTCGACTATTAAGTTCCTTTAGTCGCATTTTACAACACCCAAGGGATAGGAACTTTCAGTTTGCTTTGATTTAATTGATGTATTTATTAGTTACTTATATAAATAAATAACAGCATTGAAAATCTCTATTGTAAAATTTATTTCGATATCTTCGAAGAGCTATGCTTGGAGTTTCGTTAGAAATCCGAAATGAAAAATATTCGATCTCTCGAAGATAATGAAAATATTATGATTTAGTACCGCTGCCTCTGTAATCAATAATATGGGAAATTTAGAAAAACGTCCTACAAACATTAAAAAGGCCGGCAACGCACAAGTAACTTCTCTTGTATTGTAGGTGTTCATGAACGACGGTAACCGCTTTCCATCAAGTGGACAAAAAAATGCTTTAGTAGTTAACAGTAAACGGTTGTCGAAATTTAGTCACTATTATAAGTTGATAAAAGGTCTACGTAGATCTACGAGAGTATCTAGTAGAGCATCATTACGATTACACAATTTCTGCTTATTTCGATATGTCTATAATTAAAGTTAGTTTCATATTTAATTCTGTTTTTAACGCAGGAACAAGCTCAAGAACAAGTAGGTGATGAGAAACAATTAACTGGCCGCTCGGAGTTGGACAAGAGTGATAAAGGCCACCGAGGCGAGAAGCAAGCGGCTGATCGCGCCGACACCTCGGAACAACAACGGAAACAACGCGAGAACAAGCCCGGGAGCACAGATCATGAACGAACATTAGGTACTGTTTTTAACTGATTTTTATTGTGTGGCCAGTAATGTGGTCTACCTTAACAAATAGAAAAATGAAAAATGAATGATTATGTATGTGAATGTTAATATGAATATTAAATATAAAAGAATCTCACCATTCTTTTACCATAAATAGGCAAAGATCCATGCATCTGTGCTTATTTACCGAGTTCCAAAATTATTTTCATTAATAAACATGTATCTAACAATATTAAAACAAGTAATTACAATCTATTCATCGTTCACTACTAAGCCTTTATTTTGCCACAAAGTACGACCATGAGTCATATGAATTAACTGGTAACTCACTATTATTGCAAATTTTTAAAGTCGCCGCTCCATATCTCAGGGTGTCGATCCTCGATCGTTTGTACAATAAGCGTATGTTGTATAAATCATGTTCGTAGTCATTTAATAAAAAAAAACAAAATTTTAAAATAGATGGGCCAATTCGGCAATTCTTTTTCCAAATAATCGTTAAAATCAGACTAAGAATCTCATGAAAAAAAAAAGTATAGAAAAATTGGCGGTAAAAACCCAACTTTTATTTTTGCCATTATTAAACTATTAGCTTCTAACAGAACGACGTCTATCCAGTCAACTAGTATATAATAATATAATTATATTTGACAGGAAACGTTAATGAGAAGAAGCATAAACAAATGCACACATTGAATGTGGAGAGAGAAGAGCAGGAGCAAGATGAAGCTGGTGATACGCAAGACGAAGATAAAATTGCGGACGCATATCAACATGTCAAACAAGCGCAGAAGGACGACATGCAGGTACTGCAATTAATATATTAATATTAGTTCCTATGGATTACCATAGGAACTTAATTATTGGTTATTTGTCTATAATTTGGATTATCATATACCCCATTGGTGAGATTACCTTCCCCTTACAAATTTTAATTAAATCTATTTGATATGTCGATGTATTTTGGATTATTTGATTATTTTAGTATTTTAGTAGAAGAAAATAATGTTACGTAAAAGAATGTGAGGTTTCTGTTCGTTCCGTTTCTCCTCATCGTCATCATAACAGTTGTGAACATAGGCCTTCTTATGGGAGGGTTTTGCTAATAACTGCCACGCTTGGCAGGCGAGTTGACAACTGCAGTTAGGCTTTCGTGAAGTTTAAAAAAGGATGTTGCTGCCACACGGCCAAAGCCTAAGCCTCTCTTCTATAAATAAGATTTAGTGAGATATTTATTACCCTTTTTAGTTAAGCTGGCGTAATTAATGTGGATCCTCTTTCCCTCGTGTAAATATGTATTATCGATTTCGCCTGAGCGCAATGTCAATAGAAGAAAGAAAGAAAATTATTTTGTAACAAAAAAAATACTAATGACAACAAGAATTCTAATCGTTAAAAAGACTCCTACGTAGCGTATGTCGGAAGTCCTTACGGCTTTCTGGCGCTTTTTCCCCGGCTTTATGATATGGACAATGTGTAATTGTGAAATTGTAAACACTATTGTGAAAATTCTCTGTAGGTATCAATATAATATAAAATTAGTACTGTATATATTCAGATATATAATTTTATATGTGCTTACCTAATTAATTAGGCATTAGACGCCGCTACTAAGGAACAAGCGGACCAGCAGCCGACAATACAGCAAGAAGAAGAAGAGGGTGAAAAGGTAAAAGAGGATGAGGAGGTGCCTATGGAAGTGGACGACGATGATATTCAGGTTGGATTACGTCAATCTAATTACATTAAGTTACGATTTACATAACATTGGTTATTATAGACTAGACTAATCCTAAGACTTCGTTCTATCCACATTAAAATAAAATATCGATCAAATATTTATTTATATTGTGTTATTACGTCTACTATCTATCCTCAATTTAGGATAAAATAAATTATTATAAAAACAAAGTTCTTTTAAAATAAAATATAGATACAATATAGAATTTTGTAATACATATATTATGTTGTCTGCTCCTGGAACTAAGTTACATCATACATACAATCTGTATTAAATTTATTTAATAAAGATTGTATGTTTATTTTTAAATTTATACACATTTATATTACTATTTTTCAAATTAGCATTTTTTTATACAGCAGAACCAGTTTGTACTATATACTTTTATATACATTGTATATACTTTTTCAACCGACTTCAAAAAGAAGGAAGTTCCTAATTTGTATTTTTTTTTTAATATTTGTTGCCTCATAACTCCGTCAGTTCTAAACCGATTTGGAAAATTATTTTTTATCTGAAAGCTTATACTTATAAAAATGTCCCATAGAAATTTAATTAAAATTAATTCAGTAGATTAATTTTTAAATCAAAATCACATTTTTCAAAATCACAGGTTTTGTCACAATTTTTTTTTTTGTGGGACAGAATCTTTATGAAAGCTTGTTCCATAACAAATTCATGTTTTAATACGCAACGAATAATTGTAATGATTAATACCTTTAATCTATACAAAAATACACATAATTCTATTATTTGAGAGCATAAATTAAAAGAAGTTTATGCACTATTTTCTTTGGTTTATAATGGGTTAAGAACCTGGCAATTTTATTTGTCTATTTAAGTTTATTATGGTGTTTGTGACGTTACATATTTGTTTTTTAGATTGACAAATCTGAAGAACTCAAACCTGAGAAAATGAAAAATGGACCCGAAAAAGACGAGGAAAAGTCTGGAAAGAAAAAAGAAGGAGGCGAGGAGCCAACTGGTGAAACTGGCATCGAGGTAGAGGGCGAACAGGTTGTGACTGCAAATGTACCAAGAGGCAAGGACACTACTTATCACACAAAGTAAGTGGTACATGAGTTTAATTTTTATGCTAATTCTAATTTTGCTTTACCACCTTTTTACCTAAATAAATAGCATACATGTGTCGCGCCTGTCTCCCATTAGGGTAGGCAAAACAATACTTCGATTTAAACAAACCTTTTTCCCTTTTTCCACATTCTTTTCATACACGCTCGCTGGTTACGGCTACTTTTAATTTTGCCCTTCTTCAGCACGTCGTCTATTTAGTCAACAGATGTCCGTTTAGAACGGCCCCTACCGACATCTCTATTCTTGCTCGATAAATTTCTTTCGTAGTTCTTCTTTCATCCATCCTCTTCAAATGGCCAAACCAACGCAACATTCCCTTTTCGATTTATGTCACTACATCGTCTTTCAGTCCACACTTCTCTCTAAAGAAATAGCTAATTAATATATTGATAATACGACAATAACCGGCGTTTCGTTTGAAGATTCGTTTGCCGTTTCATTTGAAAATTATGTAAGTCTAGTTGTATGCCAGCGTGTATTATTATATAAAATATCCTATGTGCTAAATTAGAATATATATTTCAATGTATCAAATTTTTACTCAAATGGGACCAGTAGTTTTTGTATGAAAGAATAACAAACATTTATCCATCCATCCATACAAACTTTCACATTTATAATATTAATAGGACTAGCTTATAACTGCGACTTTGTCCTCGTGACCGTATTTAATTCCACCTAATATTGCTGACATTAGGGTCGTTGATTGTCAGTAACGGAGTCTCCATTACTGACAATCTACTCACCCTGAATTTTATTAAGTGTTACTCTGTTCATCCGTTTTTTTCTTTTATAAGATAATAATGGAATGGTAACCTAAAGTAACCTGCACAATGGGTATACGCTGAAATGAAATGTTTATTTGCTTTAAACAGGCATTTTGCAACTTTAAACAGCTAGAGCCAGTAGGGTACCAATGAACCGTTATGGTTTCCAGAGAGTTCTATGTGGAGTTCGACCAGGCAGGGTATATACTAGCTATGGGACCGCAAATTCTTATCAGTGACAATCCCTTATCCCCGTTAACTCTAATGACTTCATTGCGATGGATCAACTCATTCTCTTTTATCGGTTACTCTGCCTAATTTTTGCCATTATTTTTTTTTTATTGTCCAGACTGGATGACAGCCAGCAACGTACAGAGGATATGACCGTGGAAGAGTATATGAGCATCCGTGAGTGGGTCCAGCGTGGCTCGCACCAGGCTCCGTGTTCGAGCGGTGTATGGCGTTCGCTGTGGCATGAGTCTGCAGCGGCCGCGCGGGCGCTCTGCGAAAGACTACGCCTCGTGCTAGAACCCACTGGACGATCTAGGCGGGCTGGTAATTAATTGTTATACGTCTAAACTAATATTAGAAAGTGGATAGATTGTATTATTTTTTTACTATTATGGTGGTTAACAAGCAAACGGTCTATCTGATGGTAAAAGGGAATACCGTAGTCTATGGACGCCTGTAACACCAGTATGTTTTTAATATTGTTTTTATAACAGAGGCAAACAAGTATACAGCTCACCCGATGGTAAATGATTACGGCCGCTTATGGGCACTGTAAACACCAGAGAAAATACAAGTGTGTGTGGTGTATTAAGGAATATGCTCTTTTCAATGTCTATCAAAAAATTTTGTTACGTAAACCGATTATAAAAATTCTTTCAAATGTACTTTATTAAAAATACCGTACGAAGTGGGAGCCAATCAGTAGTATTTGTAGTATTAGGAAGGGTGTCAACGTCAGAACTATTTGCCATTTTCAAAATATCATGTAATGCATGATCAACGTTTCGGTGCGTTGTCCGAGCACTTTTGGATTAATTAATCCAAAAATATGGAAAATTCTTCATTTCATTCATACTTCAAATTAAATTTTTTATTTAATGAGATTTTGCCATAGGGAAGGCCTATGTTCAGCAATGGACTGTAAACTACTGATATGGCGATGATCATCATCATCATCGTCATCATGTGGTCGTCAGTTTGTTTGTCATTTGCAAAATTGTAAAAAGAAAAAACAATAATTTGTAGGTGATTTCCGTACTGGCCGTGCTATAAACATGCGGCGTGTGATTCCATACATCGCATCGCAGTTCCGTAAAGATCGCATTTGGCTGCGGCGGACCAAGCCCGCTAAACGCGAATACAGTATCGCCATCGCGATAGATGACTCCAGCTCTATGGCAGACAACCGAAGCAAAGAGCTAGCATTCGAGAGCCTCGCCCTGGTCTCACAGGTGAGTAGAGTATTTGGAATACATATAGTTATAAAAAATAACTAATTCCTCATATTATAGATACACCACCTACCTATTTCTATTTGCTCATGATTGCCTGGTAGAGAACACTTTCTCATATTGAATCCGCCATGTCTTTATTGTGCATTAAAGTTTAAATAAATAATTATATGCATATTGCACAAATATTTTGACGCTATTCCGTTGTTTTATAATGTACTAGATGTTGACTTTTTTTTATTTAGCTACGATAGATTTAGGTATCAAAAGGTATTTTGTAAAGTTTAAGTTGCTGTTCATGTATATAATAAATTTTTTCGTCCCCTTGGGAATATTAGGAAATTCCTTCTTCATCTACGATTTTATATAAAGGACTTGTAGCCGACCCCATTTTCCGGTTATAAACTCTTATTTAAAATTGTATGCTTCTGATGGTGTACAATCTATTCTAGTATAACTGTCAGCTTATTTGTTTGTATGTTATCTATTCAGTGTTTTAAGAAAATATATTGAATTATCTAAATACGAATACCTATTTCTAGTGTTTTTTTTTTTTCTATTAATATTATCACATGAATTGCCATCAAATCTCGACTATCACTCTATCACAAAATAAGACCCAACGACTAGAGCTTTAAAAAATCTCTTAGTAAAATAATCTTTTACTTTACAGGCTTTGAATTTACTGGAGTCAGGCGACCTTGCCGTTCTCAGCTTTGGCGAGAAACCTAATCTGCTTCATCCATTTACTGAACAATTTTCCGAGCACTCTGGCTCGAAGATCCTAGAACAATTACGCTTCGAACAAACAAAAACTAAAATAGCTCAATTGCTGGACTTTTGTTCGGTATTATTCGAGGAGCAAACAGTAAGAAGTGATGCCATAAATGCCAAACTGTTGGTGATAGTTAGCGATGGACGTGGAATATTCTCTGAAGGGGAGACCCGAGTAGTGCAAGCAGTCCGCAGAGCAAGACAACAAGGCATATTTTTAGTTTATGTTATAATAGACAATCCCGATAATAAGGTAGGTTCTAAGGATACAATTTTTTTTTTATTAAAGATTTTACGGCTCGTTTTATTTTATTTCTAAGCTAACTAACTTTAACAATAATAAAGTTCAAACATTTAAATATTATGTTAAGTTGATATTATGTTATATTAAAAAAAATTGAAGTTTATTCCAGAAAAATATTGTACGATTTACATCTAGACTAACTGGATATAATAAATAAATTATGTACTTAATATATTTATTTCGTTACAGGATTCCATCATGGACATCCGTCGGCCTCTACTAGATCCTGTGACAAATAGTCTGGCCGGTTTCATTCCTTATCTAGATACTTTCCCATTCCCGTTCTACCTAATACTCCGAGATATGTCTGCTCTCCCTACAGTATTGGGTGACGCTCTGAGACAATGGTTTGAACTAGCTGCCAATACTGTTAGCTAGAATTGATATGTTTATAATACACGGAAAACATAGACTCAAGATTTAAAATTGTTTATTGAAAATCTGGGGTTAATAAAATATATTATTTTTTAAATTTAAAAATCATAATAAATTTTTCTATTACGTATATAGGTAATAAAGAATATACCTAATATTTGAACTGTATTTAGGTGCTGTGAGTTGTTATATGACTACATTGTATTAAGATACATTAGACGGTATCTCTAAAGTATTTTGTTAATATAGGTTGTAAGATGTTAAATCTATATTTTTATCAATAAATAAAGACATGAAATTTGATTTTAATTTTCAATAATCCTTCACAATATATTCGTTTTACAATACCATTTGTGTTCTTGAAGTACATAATGTACAGACTCTGCATGGTTCCGGTCTCTTCGTACTATTATACTACAAATATTAATAAGGGTGGATAATTCATGTAATCGTTGAGAGAAATCTATCTATTGATTTAAATTATTCCTGGATTCATCCAAGTCAACTTATTTTAAACTGTTGTTCGATTACATCGTCAATTCTGAACCGATTTTCATAATTCTTTTTACAATCAATATTAATTACAATGTTGGTTCTATTTTAATTCTATAACGATCGAAGCCTTATTTTACTTATGTAGTGAAAAACTAAGCAAAATCTATATGTAAACATACAATTACAAGCACTAAATTCAGATATTTACCACGCTTCATCTATCTATGAAACTTTGTCGTTTATTAAAGTGTGAATATGTGGAATGGAGTAAATTTCTTAAGGCAAAGCAATTTAAACAAAAAATAATAAACAAGTAATTAAAAATATTATTGTATATTTGTCAACCGAATATTAAAAAATATCTTAGGATATTACACTTAGTAATATTTTTTGTATCTGCAACTTGTTAACATGTAGGCCTATGTTATTTAAATAAATACTTAACTTTTTTTATATTGTGAATTTTTATGAACATTAAATAGAAGTTCAATAATAAATGATCTACTATATAACAGGTTTTCAAGCAAAGAGACCGCAAAAATCTATAAATAATAGTGTCGTTTGGACGCGTTTCATTTAATACACACATTGAAGAATTATTTGCGGTTTTCCGCGTTCTCTTTGACGAAGCTTATCGTGTTTCAAATGAAACAAATAATTACACATTGCACCACTTACCTCTAAAGTTCTAATATACATACAACGTAATAGCATTAGTTTACAAAATATCAGATAACTAAAATAGTGTGATGCTTTGATATGCAGTAATGTGTTTATCTACTTCGTATTTGTAATGTAAATGATTATAGTAAATTTTTAAAAAGATTATCACTAAGATATCAATAAGAGCACTTAAAAACTATTAGGTATCGAATTATGGAGCAGAACTTGTTAGAATCTATATTTTAATTATTAATGTAATAAAAAATACAGCTGATCAAATATGTTAATTAGAATACTGACAATTGTACTTTCAAGCGAAATGACAACGATAAGAGAAGTATTGAATAAAATGAAAACAATGTTTATAGGATAAAAAATTTTGAAAATAGAATAATAGTTTATTTATGCGTCGTTTCAATTACGATAATCTAAAGAAGATGTGCACTGTTAAAAAATAACCTGTTTTATACAAAGAATTTTAATAGTTCAATAATATAATGAAAATAATTCACATTTTCTTCGAGTGTTCGACATTATGTGATATTTGCTAACATATTTTATGAAATTTGAAGCAGACATTTCGTTTTAGTACATTTCAAAGCAGCGACACGATAAATTGCAATAACCAACAATTGTAATAGCAAAATATAAACTATAATAAAGTTTACAATAAAATATGCTAACTCATGTAAATATGTCTTGACAATAACATTATGACTAAGCCTAAACAATTAATGTTACAAAAAATTAGAACCGTGATAAGATGTCTATAGCCTAGATTTGTATAATAAATATAATTTAAATTAAAAGTGACCCCTCGGTTTACATTTGAGCGGTTTTAAAGCTGCAAAACAATATATGAAGAGATACAGCCTTGTTCACGTTAGAATGAACGTATTTCGTTTAAGTAGATTTTATCAGAAATCTACGAATGTGTATTCATTTAAATATGCTCACCTAGGAATATATCAAACAATATTACTTTTTTATCAAAATTACGTGTAGAAAATCATGAAAAATTGTTATCTAAAACAATATATCTAATTTAGAAAAGGCCTTTACGGTGAAAAAACATTATACGACCGGATTGTTAGTAGAAACGCTAAATAGAGAAACCGTAACTCGAAAATGTGTCTAGTTGTATATAAAATTGTATATCTGTAGGCCTGTAGAGCAGCACGTTACGTGAACTATCTCACTTGGCGGACTCCTTGGACGAATGGTTGTTGCTCTCTTCAGTCTTTTCTCCGTCACCATAGAACTTTGGCTGCAAAATAAATTGTGATTAGTAAAATATATAGAAGAATGTATTCGTTATAATGATTTCGTTTGGTAAATTGTCGCTTTATGTATTTTTTTTATTCGCGTTTCACAAATTGATCCATAAGGAGAATTGTTGTTTGTATATAAAATAACATCACGGCAATTGTAGTGTAGTGCCTGTTAAAACTAGATCAGAAGGTGCAAATGGGTAAGTGGCATTGGATTCTAAGATCCTAGGGGGGCGCAATCCGCTTCACTCCAAATATAGTAAAAAAAATTTTGTCGATGAGGAAAGAATTCTATTGCAGCCACCAGCTTAACTATCTTTCCACCCCTCTGCATACCCCCCCCCCCCCCAGAATGTTTAAGAGAACCTTAAATTCAATTTGCTCTTGAATAATGTTAGATGTAAAAGTTTAGTAAATCCGATAAATAAAAAAATTATAACACAAGAAAATCGATGAACAAAACCCAACACAAAATGATTAGTGAAAAATGAAAAAAAAAAAAAACAAAGAATTCAAGACGTTCTTTGTGAATACAAAGTGAAACACACATAAGAATTTATTCGGATAGAGAAAATTAAAATTACCTTTATAACGAGATTCTATTTTAAATATGAACAAAATTGTTTTTATTTAAAAGAGAACCCTAATGTTATCTGACATAAGTTCAATTTTAATTTAATGACAAACAGTGTATCTATCTCCAATGAGTATATTTTATGTTTGTACATACATCTATATAACGTTCTAAACTATTTTACGGGATAAAAAATATGTCTAAAATGTACTCAAACGTATAGCGACTAAAGAATATTTTTATCAACAGTTTCCTAATGATACGACAATAAAGTAATAGTTTTAATTAAGAAAGAAAAAAAAGTTGCGCAACATTGTCTACAGCTCTTAGTTGTCTATAATTATTATATGTTTTTAAGAACAAGAAAGTTTTACAACGAATGGCGCGCATCTAATTAGATTCCCATGGATCCGTCAACAGCAGACTGCGCCGGTCCAAAGTTGCAGGTACAACAAACGACCGATTTGTAAAATTTGTGTAAATTTTATTGATAAATATATAAATAAAATAGATGATTCAAGCACACTATAAAATTCGTTCCGACTATAAAATTTGTACCGTTTGATGCAAATCTTACGTAATTGTTACAAAGAATCGGAAAGCTAGATAACATTTCATAAATATGAGTATTAACGAATCGGAAAAAAAAACAAATCTATTAGTACTTAGCAAATATGAGTGTATTAATAATACACAAACTTCTGTATGTGAAACTCACAATAGCATGAATGAAGTACATACTTTCAACGCTCACATAAAAGGGAAAGTAAGGCATTCAGTGACTTGTTAACTATAGTAAAATATGTAGCTATGTCCATGAAAAACAACACATCAAAATCAAAACACTAAGTCCAAACTATAGTATGATCATCTATCATTGTCACTTACACAAAGTCATTTTGTACTATACGGTTGTCACTTTTTTTCCGAATCCGTTTTTCACACCATTATAACTTGTAAATCCCTAGAAATAAATTATTTACAGGTTTAAATTATTTACAGAAATATAAATCATATACATATATATACATGCATATATAGAATAATATTGATAATGTCGAATGGATTTAAATTAAGAAATACATGACATAAATGTGTTAGAAACAAAATATAAAAAAGAAATATGTGTTATTATGCTTTCAATAATTATATATGTAATTTAATGTAACATTTATGTATATATAGGTATTGTTTTAAATATCAATACCATTCCCATAGATATTAAATCTAGAGGATCTAACAAAACTGCCTTGTAATAATTAGTGATTATATCATTTTACATCATATAATTACAACAATGATAAAATTTGTAGCCAGTTCCTGGTGGAATAAGCAGATCTCCTATATTGTTCTGTGTATCTTTGTTTATTAATAAAAAACAAGAGAGACCGACGACGACTTCTATGTGTTTTATAAATATTTTAGAATAAAATCAGCTTTTTAAACATTTTCAACCGACTTCAAAAGGGAGGTTCTCAATTCGGTTGCATTTTTTTGTTTGTTACCTCATAACTCCATAGTTCTAAACCGATTTAGAAAATCTTTTTTTTATCTAAAAGATGGACTTACAGTTTGATACCACAGAAATGTTGTCAATTTCGGTTCGTTAGTTTAGTTTTTAAATCAAAATATTTGGTTTATTTTTTGTGGGACACAATCTTTAATTATTTACAGTATCATAGACATCTTTATTTACCTTCACAATTATACATTTTTTTTTCCACACTTCATCTTGTTTTAAGTATTACACCTATGAAAGAAAGGATGTCTTTTTTTTGCAGTATTCAAACTCTTAATTTTTTTACTAACATGACATTTCCATATCAAAATATGTTCATTCTTTTATCAGTAAATGGTGTTACTTTTAGGTCTTTTTTATTTAGGTACATTTTAGGATAGAAGCAATTATAAGATATTAATAACAAGCTGTGTGTTTAATGTTGTGTGGTCCCGGCATCGAATAGGCCACTCCTTCCTTTCCCGTGGATGTCGTAAGAGACAACTTAGGATGGACGAGGGATAGGCAGTAGAATCCGTCTTAAAACATTTACAAAGCTCAACTGCGATTGTCAATCCGCCTAACAAGCGTGTGGTCCCGGTATAGAATAGGCCACCCCTTCCTTTCCCGTGGGTGTTGTAAAAGCAAAAGGGAGGGCGAGAGATGGGCGGCAGTGTCCCTCTTAAAACATCTCTGAAGTCTGACAGCGGTTACCAATCCACCAGCCAAGCGTGGCAACTACTGGCGAAACCCCCAAGTGGGAGGCTTGTTCAACAGTGGATAGTTAAAGGCTGATATGATGAATAACAAACTGGAGGGATCAATATGGAATTAGGATTAAAAAATGAAACTAGCTGTGGTATCTTTTTAAAGCTAAATGTGGTGTAATGAATTTATACATTTCACTTTTATTAAACAGTCAAGAGAAACTTACAAAAAATGATGCTAAATAATTGTGAGTGATCTCCTATCTCGTTTATACTTAGCGGTAAGGCTTTAAAATACGTCACATTTCACGTCGAAAAAGAGAAATATGACGTCATTAAGTAAAATTATTTTTAAAGCGAAATTACTTTCTAAAGAAATTAATTCATCATTGAATTAAATGTATATACTAAAATGATTATTGTAAATGCTGGGATTACATGCATTGTATGGCATTTGCACGAAACACCCAGTGTCCATAAACATTTGGCATACAATTAAACAGTACACAAATATAATAATGCATCGCAATTAACTTTCATTTGCGTAGAGAGTGATCAATTAGCGAAGAGTGGCATACATTACATACACTAGTAAGCTTACAGAAGACAATATAAATACCGTGTCAACAAATTTGTACTTCCATACATAGTGTTGCCCATATTGTTCTGTGATGAATATTAATAGTAATATATAATGTTCATTTGATACCTCATCGTGTTTCTCTTCGGTATTGACACGCTCGTCATCATCTTCGCTGTCATCATCATCGGCTGACGAATCGCCGCCGGAGCCTGCAGTGTCTGGCACTGGTTTCGCTGTAATATATGTAAATAAATAAATAATTATACTACTTGTTTGTACTTCTTTATTCTTTATTGTACACAAAACATAATGTTAAGCACAATTCATTTTAAACATAATGTACAAAGGCGAGCTTATCTCTAATAAGAGATTTCTTCCAGCAAACCTTTTCATGTGAATTGGATCTTATTTAAAAAAATATCAATAATACTTCATATTGTTTCTGCCTACCTTAATGAGGAACAGGCATGAAGGATAAGTATGTATATACTTTTTGATAAATTATTTTAATACTAGCGACTCACCTCGACTTTACTCGGGTAGTAGAGCATATATGCATATATTTTTTGCAACAGCTTTTTGCGTCGAGCATGAATTAGATGGGTAGTAAGCTATTCTAAAAGGAAGACATATGCCTCGCGAACTTTTTATATGCCAAAAGAGACAATCCAATCTATATATATTCAGTGATTAGAATTTATTTTTAAATGAATTAAAATTTTTTCTTCTTTACATCTTTGCTCTTTATAAATATTAAGTTTAGATATAAAAAGAGTTACATACATGGACTGTTGGTCAATGTCTGCGGCTGGTTTGGCGGGCGGACACGTTCTTTGCTGAGCTCATCGAAGCACTGTAGACACACACGCAGAGGTTTGTCGCTTTGGCCGCGTAACAAGAACTTTTTGGATGAACATGGACCGCATACGACAGAACCACATTTGCGGCAATGATGCTGTTGATAAAAAAATATGTATTGTACAATATTCCAATATTATGTAGGGGGTAAAGTTTAAGATGAAATTGTGTGATATTATTCATGAAAGATATTGTTGGTATTAAAGTGGTCAACTTTTCTAAAATTTCTTATATATACATTTATAGGTCATCTGGAGGTGGCTTATATTTTTGATCTATAAGTCTAATGTTTAAAAGGTAGGCCGAAGCAGTCTATGAGATCAAATTTTTGCTCAGAAGCACCTCCGTACATAGAGGTGACACGATTTTCTGTAACTTGAATTAAGTTATAAAGAATTGTGTCAACACAATTCAAGTTTAAGGAGCTGAAGTTTTTTATTACTATTAAAGGGCTCCAAGATTGACTTTGATCTCGCCTAATAGGACGTGATGATGAGTTTGCGGATCAATAAACAGGTATATGCATCCGGAGAAACACGCAAGAAGCGAATTCTGTGTTATTGAGGTCTGCACATAAAAAAAAAAAAACGCGAAATACTTCGAATAAATAAAATATCTACGAATATGAAGTGAAAATACAGATAAATAAATGGGAATGTGTCTCCATTATATAAATACTGACTGCAGGCAAATATACAATGTTTTAATAGTGTTACGATGCCGCTATTGTCAATAAACGGATGCTTATCATTAGCTTATCGCATTTCAGTATGAAGTGATAACGGCACGCATTAGGACATACCTACGTTGAAGGACCCTATCAAATAACAAAATAAACGCTTACAACTTTAGTCTTATAACTTTTAAATAATGAAAATTAATTACGAGATAGTCCATTCGACCACGGCGCGTTCACCGATTGTATTTGTATGTCAGATTGATTTCTCTTGAGACAATTTTTAAGATAAATTTTATTTATGTATTAATAAATATATATTCTGTGAACACAATTTCATAATATTTTTATTATATTAAAATTTATTTTACTGAAAATAAATAGATTTCGTAATGTATTAAAATAAACAACTGACAAACTGACATTTCACAAAGAAATCTTGCATAACGTCACTACCCGGTTTCGTTTTTAATCTTACATCTATTTTTTAAAGGATAATTAATAATAAAATAATAACCCCGTCTACACCATCAGTATATAGGGTACTAATGAGGAATGATAGGTCAGAATATAGGCATGTCAATTGGCTCATTGTATCGAATTCATCAAGAATCAAGCATGATGGTTTCCAGGATAGACTGTACGGAGATCGAACCTATAGGGTTACTGTTAGTAATGGAGCCACTAACCACCGTTACTAACAATACCTTCCTTCAGTATCATGCTACTTACATGTAAATTTTCATTAGTGTTAAGATCCAAACTTATATTTAATCTTAAAAGGTTGGTATACTATCTCTATATTACACTGTACATACCCTTCTGTTGAGGACAGTAAATTGTGTTTTCTTGCAGTGCATACAGATAGAAGCTTCATTGTCAGGTACCCATACGGCAGCATGTTCTGATGGCGGTTGTTTGCCACCTGCAGATTAATAAGATATATAATTGAATTACTTTTTTCTATATATTGATATTCACATACATATATACACATACATATATTATGCCATTATATTATATTTACTGATATTCACCAAAGCTTAACTGCGATTGCCAATCCACCTGCCCATCATGGCCACTGCAGGCAAAACTCCTCAAGGAGGAGACTTATGTTTTGCAGTGGACAGTTAACAGATGACATGTTGATATATTGATATTTGTACAATAACACTAATCTAGAAATGTTCTAGTAATAAGAAATAAAGCGCGCGAAATGCATAATTATAGTGTACTAGTCTTTGCCTGCGACTTCATCTGACCATGATAAAAAATATTATAAATTTTATTTATATTATAAAAATATATGCGTCACTATAATAATAAATATATTAATATATAATAAAAACAATAATTAATAAGGATATATAACAAAAATATGGATATATATAAGGATATATATAAGGATGTTTCATCACGAACTTTGAAGTTACGAAAGTAATGCTTTAAGAGTATTTTCGCGTTTAAATGATAATTTTATAAACTTATTAACAATATAGTCACTTTTCCGAAATTTATTATTAGTTTAATAAAAAGTTATTATTATAGTAGTTAAAAGTTAATAAAAAGGCGTTTGTAGAATACTTACTTTTTCGGAGCAAATCCTCTATGCATTTCTCTATGTGTGCCATCCATTCCTCTTTCTCCGTTGCTGTGGCGGCGTACACTGCGAAGGATTTGGACGCGGTGCGGATTAACCAGCCGTTGCGGTTATCTAAAAGAAATACTCTTAAAAATTAATCATCTTGTTTAATTCAAAATGAAGGGAGAATAAAAAAAGTTAGATCATATGTATATCAGTTATGCGGATTAAAAAGCTCTATTTATGGATTGTTTTGATATGTTGATGAATGCAGTATGTAAAATGATGAAATTTATATATCATAGCTGTGTTCCACGGCTTTACCTGCGTGAAATCAGTACATAATGTATTCTATGCGCTAAGATACGATGTAATCTAATGTATCAAATTTAATTCAAACCCATTCAGTGGTTTTTGTGTGAAAGAGTAATAAATATTCTTCTATCCCATTCATTTTTACAAACTTTATCTTTTATTATTTTGTAACACATTGGATGATGTTCACTATATGATATTCGAATGTACGAAATACAAAACACAAAGGGAAGTATTGTTACAGAAATATAGTCTCAATAGACAGGAGATTGGTTTATTTTCAAATATACTCGCAGAATCACATTCCGGAATAGCAAAATCTTTAATTACTTTATTTTTGTATCAATAATTCCCTTTATCAAATAGACTACTAAGATATTATGTATTATTTATTTATGTATTAATGTTTTAAATATGTGAGGTATTTTTTAAAATGAGGATATGATGAGGCTGACATATCCTTATAGGATAAAAATAAAAAAGAAAAAAAAACTTTTACTATATCTATGTTATATATTGTGTGGAATACTGGCACTCACTGTTGAGGTTCTTCAAAAAGAGTGTACTAAAGTTCCTTCTGTCAAATGAGTTAAATATGTTTAAAGTTTTAAGAGACTTTAGATTTTTTTACAATAATACAGAAGTAAACTCATGTAACATTTGAAAAAACTGAGTATACTGTTTCCCCCATAATACTCCCCATGTGTGGCCATTCCTGAGGACTCAGATGTTATTCCTCTGTACCCTGTAAATTCACGCCATATCCCATCCTTCAAACTGAAACACAGCCATGCAAACACAACTGCTTTACAGTTGAAACACGAACGGTAGCCAACGACTTTTGTACAAAGTCTACCTCTGGTAAATTAAACTAACAACTTCCTTCTTCAAGTCACATAAAAAATAAGTATAAGGATTATTTTCATACTTATTACCAGATGATTCATTATAAGTTTTATAATTTATATATCTATGATTTGTACATCAAACTCTGATAGTATTGCACAATGAGTCATATCAACCAAGTATTTTAGTGACTCATAACAAAAATACATATATATTTTTACAATTTCCATAATACAGGCAATAAGTAATAGATATTATTATTTATCTATTATATCTATATCTTTTATACCATGTGGTCCTGGTATAAAATGGGCCACTTTTTCCTCCTTACCATGGGTATTGTAAAATTGACTAAGGGAATATAATATAAAGAAATAGCTGATGATAAAGGGATGTTCTTTTTTAATATTTTTTCTCTGGGCTAAGGTTGATTCAAAAGTTTATAAAGGTTGCTAGACTTCAAATTACATGCACCACCAGCTAATTTGCTTTTTCAAGTTGCATTAAAATTATAATTTAAAAAACAAAAATAGTACTTTAGTTATCTACAATTATCTACAATCTATCAATATAATTGTAATATTTGCACATATTGCATTTGAAGTTTAAAAATATGCTTTTTCAACTATTACAATAATAATATACTATTATAATAATAATAAAAATCATACAATTTATCATTAACAAAATTATAAATAGTATCAACAACAAAATATAGTGTACATACACTATACTCTATTTAATGTTTAATTATAATGTGATATATTTTTAAAGATAATACTTACATCCTTCATCTTTCAGTGATTCCAGCTTCACTTCTTCCAATGGTATAACATGCTGTTTGTTGTATTTCTTTTTATTTATTACAATGTTGCCATAAACTAATATGTCATTGAAGAGGAAGAACTGACGAGATTTAGGTTTCTTTCGGCACATCTTTGTAAGGACACCCTCTCCAACAAGGACCCTGCCTTGTTCTGCTAATGGCTAAAATATATAAAAAATATAATTTTATTAAAATAATCATTAAATGAACATAATGTAAACCATATAGGTTAGCAATCTATACTTCCCCATAAAATTATTTGTACAATTAATATATATATTAAGATTTATATGGTTATTTACCATGCTCATTATTAAAGGATTTTATTAATAAGAATAGATTTTATTTCACAGTGTAGTTTAAACAATATAAAATAAAACACACGCAAATATCATAGAATATGTTATTTAATTTAACTGTTATTTCTTTTTATCACTTCTCATGTATATTTTACTACATACTATTCCACAATATTCCTATGCTTTTAAAGAAAATGGAATATCCACCAAAAACCTTTTATTTTATGGAACCTCATATCAAATTATTAAAAATCAAAACCACTTATTTAAATAAGAACAAAAACTTTTATATAGAATATTTTAAGAGTAAAATTGTTTCATTGTGTAAATAACTTCATATAACCCTAGCAACTTTTCTATGATATCCCTAGGTTTCTAGAGTCAACTTTAGGAATTGCTACCATAATAAATTGTAATTGTAATGGCATCTACACTAACATAAATTAAGTTTTATACATGTATGAATCATATACCAAAAGAAGACTACAAAATTTGACTGCTTGGGTGCTAGTGTCTCACTTGTGTTTCTGTTGTGAAGTAGGTTCTGGTATGCTTGCTTGGCTGTTTCAGTTTAAAAAGGTTTTATATAGCAATTCTCAAGAATGGCAATGCAAGAGGGGTATCATAGTATGTTCTGTGATGTTGTTAGTACTCTTAATGTTTTTATGCAACATTATTGCTTAAAGATAATAATGCACAATTTATTTCTAGTTTTCCACAGGATGATGGGGTTACATTATTGTTGTATGTTACTTACAAAACATGTACTATAACAAGTAACTAATGGGATAACAAGAGATTTTAACAATTTTACCTATACATCATCTAGCATAATTTACTTTTGTGTAATAAAGATGTTTCATGTTATAGTATCCAAGCAATATACATAGTAAAAATAACATATTGTTAACATTATCTTAAGGAAACACTGTTTTCTCACTGTGATTATTTCATATAATTGTTTGTATCTATAAGAAGTTTACTATTGTAATCTTTTAGAGGAAACAATAAAAAGTATCTATTTACTTAGAACAATTTAAATAATAGATACAATTGTCCATAATATCAGCTACCCTATTATAAGCAAAATAGCATCCAAATAATATCAGATAAAGCATAAATACAATTCAATAGGTGGTAACTTGTAGTTTATCTTTATTTTGCACTTCAGAGGAAATTTTAATTAATACCATAATTTCTTTGATAGAGATTAACAAAGTTCGCGATATGTAGCAGCCAATTGCATTCAACGTAGTAAAGACTTTATCTTTGTGCGAATTTGACGCTTGATAAACTACAAGTTTCAAAGTTATACAGCCACTGTAGGCAATGAAAAAGTAATGAAGGCGTACCTGGCCTGAACTGCCGAAACAGTTCTCCACCATTGCAATCCTCCTAGAATTGGCTTCACTATTAACTGAAACAAGAAAAATAATTACAAATTGCCGAACAGTATCAAAGTTTGACGTAAAAAGAAAGTCAGATATTCAGCGATGACAGCAATCACCCTACTAAAACTTTTGTAGTCTCATAAAAAAATTATGTTGTAAATTTTAATAATTTGTATAAAATGAGTTACATTAAGAAAACTTACCTAAGCGGTCCACCATTCTAGAATTTTATTTCTTAATCGAGATAAATTTTTACAAAAGTAAGATACAATGGAGAAAAAATAAAATGTGTCACACTCATCAACTCATACACAAACCACAAAGAATATAAAGTTGACAGACAGACTATAAATGTCAGATATTTTTTATATGATTTACCGGCCTTGAGTACCACGTTTTAAGAGATTAAAAGTGATATAATTTGTGGTCAAACGCATGCTAAAGGAGATCACAGATCAAGTAATCACTACGTTATAAAATAGATCAAATCTTTTTCTTTTCGTATATCTTTTTATGAGAGTGACTATTACAGTTTAGTATGTAACTACATTAAGTCTATGGTTATTAGACTCGATAATATAAATTGTATATAGTACAACTATATATATTGGTCAAAAATAAAAATCTATATGTAGACCAGGCAAGCAAACTATGTATTAGATATAATCTGCTCCAAACAACATGTCCGTCCTCGACACTGACTACGACGTAGTGGCGCCAATTGGACTGGTCAATATTTAATATAAATTCAACGTTATACATTGAAATGTGAAAATCGTTTTAGTATTGACTGAATCGACTCGTACCACTACGATTTAATTCATGATAGGGTACATGCACGATAATGAAATCTAGAAAATGACGATAATGGGTAAATAATCATATATAATATATATAAGGTCCAATATTGACATTATTAATACCTAAAAAATTCGATTCAAAGAAAAGCACATTCCACAAAAGTAGTTATATTATCATATATATGACAAACAATAAATATAGTAATAGAAATATAACAGCTTCATTGCTTGCAGTATATTCTGTCAGATCGACCACCACACGGTTTTTTTTATTTGATGAAAATGGAGTGGTAACCCCGCCTGCGCTAATGGGATACGCTGCCGGGGCACCAGTGAAGGGTGATCGATGAGGATGAAAACAGGCCAGTTAGCCTATCACGATGAATTAATCTGGAATTAATCATGATAGTTTCCAGGGGGAACCGCGAGGAGGTCAACCTGGTTGGGTATATTGCTAGCAATGGGATTCTTAGTCTCCATTACTAACAATCCCTTTCCCCCCGAACACCACACGGTTAAGTATATTGTTAGTAATGTTAATACACGCAAAGCTATTGAGTAATAATGTCTCCTTAATTTATTTGAATATCTAATATAGCGTTACCTTAAATTTTACCTTAAAATTCCTTGCCTGCGATAAAAATACAATAATTATTATAAAGGATCATGAAAAAGACAAAAGGTTTTACCATAGACAAGGAGTAATCATGTGAGCTTATTTTTTTTTTAGACCACCTGACAGTTCGTGGTCGATAGTAGAATATTGCATTTTAGTTTCTTTCCTTCGTAATTTTAATAAAATAAACCTATAAAATGGGCATGAAATTCTGTGGCCCTAAGCTATCCTTGTGTGGACTAGTTTTAAGTGTTTGGGGCATCATTCAGCTGGTAAGATACATTTTCATCTGTTTGTAGATAACATTTATATTCTTGAAAATGTATTACTATTTTCTTGTCTTCAGACTTTGATGGGCGTCTTCTATTACATCAGGGCAGTGGCATTGCTTGAAGATCTACCAATAGATGAAAAGAGCACTCACACCATTGAGGATTTCATTTCAGCAGCCGAAAATGGATATACTCAGGTGAATCATTCGCTATTAATTAACAGTTCCTCCAACTTATAAGCAACTATTGGTAACTATTTAGTTTATTTTTTCGTGGTTTCGTATTAAATGGGAACAAGGACATATTTCATACTCAATATCATGCCAGGTCCTAGAAGGTTATCGGCCTACATATGCCAAATATACTTATCGCAATAAATTGGCAGAATCTTCCATAGGACACAATTGTTAGTTTCTGTGAATAAGTCGTTTTTTTTCCTATTTTTTGTAATATATCTTTATATATATAAGTTGTTACCAATGTGAATTATTTAGGTCTTGTATCCATAGCCTTTAATATATTGGAGACCAGAAAACTTCAACATGTTTTTGGTATGCAACTTCTATTAGATAGAAGTTTATTTATATTTTTTTTAATAACAATGTCTAACATTTTAACATATTCCAATATAATGAGCATAATTTTTTATTTTGTATATTTCAGAATGCCTATAATTGCTGGATTGCTGCATTGTTATATGTAATCACATTGGTAGTCTCTGGACATCAGTTCTGGATGAACAACCGCTCTTCAGTTAGTATGTAATGGAGTGACAGGGGTGATAATGGCAATTCTCCATGTTATATTATAGTTCTAAAGGGTATCTTATACTATCAAATATGTATAATGTAATTTTTAAGTAAATTTATAAATTTACTAAGCTGGATAGGGATAGCAATATCAGTATAATGTTTTGTTCTTCTGGTGAACGAAATTTATGTATCCATCTCTAAGACATGATTCTATCTGATATTTGATAGTGTAAAACATTCTTTAGAACATTTTGTTTAATATATAGCAATCTAGAACATATAACATTGAGCAGTTGACTATTGTTTCATAGGCACAATTTGTTTTCTTACTGTCAAGTATTTTCATTCCATTTTAATTTATTGTATTCTCAAGTCCAAAACCACTTTAGAATCTAATATCTGGGTCAGCTTATTAATATGGCTAATGTTGATAATGATAAATCTGTTTTTATTTGAATTTAGTGTGTATATTTACTTTATAATTATATATTATTTATTTAATAACATATGAAAGCATATCTAATTGGCATAGACTATAAAGTGTTAACGTGATATGAAATGACTGTATTAACAAAAATTTAAAAATATTGTATTTGAATATTATGATTTGTGATTATGATATGATAATGCATTATTCTCTTCTTGATTTCTCAAATACAAAATACAAATAACTTTATTTTGTCTGAAGTTTTAAAAACTAAAATGTACTGTGGAATGGTAACTATTATTTCCCTGTGTAATTTCCTTTCCCACATGTGATATTATCTCCTGCATATTAAATAATCCATTTGCACTCGGATCGAATGAGACTTAAGATTAATTTGTATTGAGTAATAGTTTGAACAGTTATTTTTAAAAGTATTATAAAATGCTGTAACTTGTACATAAATGTCAGTAGGTATACTGTACAATGCTTAGATTTTATTGAAGTAAAGAATATGTATGTTAATTTTTGTGACTTTTTATTTCAAATTTGACTATTGGCATAAGTAATAGCAAAGATATGATAGTTCATTTTAACATTTTTATGTGATCAAAATAAATAAGTAAATTTTTATTGTTCCTTAAATAGAAATAAAATAACCTTGTAATGCAGCCTGATATAAGCTTGTCAATGCCTGTAATACAGATTCTACATCTTTATAGAAAGATATTTTAGAGCAAAATCTCGTCTATATGTGAAAAGGTAATATAAAAATAGGGGTAAGTATTTTTGTCACCTGTTGAAAATAAATTATTTAATACTAGGGCATAAACACTAATGATTCAATAGAATAAGTTCTAAGAACATTATTTCACTGTTTTTGAGTAAACCCGAAAGTGTTTCTAATCAATGAGTAATGCTGAAAGTTTCTGGGTTATAGTAATTAATGATAATAGAATATTCGTTTCTTTGGGTTTTGATAGTTTAGAATGAAAATTCACATTTTGTAAGTGAATATTTCAAGTGTATGTTCAAATTCCAAACTATAAAAAATATCAAAAGGATACGAGATCAATTTTGATAATTTGAATGATAGTATATATATAGTAATAATAATACCGAATAGGGTCAATTGGGGAGCATCATTCTCTATCTTTTAAAATTTAAATTTCATGTCAAACCTAAATCTTTATTTTAAGGACCAACATGAACTTAAAATGGCAAAATTACACTCCTCGCAAAAATTAAGGGAACATAAAAATTTTTGAAATTTTTGGGTGATTTTCAACAGGCTGTATTTCAGTGAAAAATAATCGTACAGGAAATTTAAAAAAAGGGTTTTGAAGCTTGAAAACTCTAGTTTTCAGATTTTTTGGTGAAAAAATTTTTTTAGCTTCGGTTTCCATGCAATTCTTAAACAAAGCTGAAAATAATTTTTTTCTAAATTTTCTAGGTTTCGTTTTTCACTCTATGGGCATGGAAAAATTTTTTCGAGCTACTTCATTGTATAGGTCTCTTAGCGTGTTTATTCAGCTTCAAAAATCGCTTTGGATGGCTTCATTACGACCATTTGTCTCCGAGATATCGAACTTTGAATGCAAAAGCATCCTTTTCCATTCAACTGCTAATATCTCTGGAACTACTGGTCGCACAGCAAGCGGGCGCCGAGTTTCTTTATCTGCATAAAATTTCCAATTAAGCACAGTCAAGAGTTAGTGAAGAAAAATTTTTTTTCCACCTCTAACATTGAATTGAAAAAAGTGGAAAAAAGTGACTTTTTCTCCTTTTTTGGTTACTTGGCTGTATCTTCGCTAATATGAGCGGGAAAGCTAAGATTTGAGGAAAATTTTACAGTCTATTGTTCCTTAAAGAACCCCCTAAATCCCTGGAGCGATCGGTTCAACAGTTTTTCCCGGACCAATTGATTGAAATTTTGGAAAAAATAAGGGAACAAGGTTTTTGTCCCTTAAACTCACCCTAATCCATTCAAAAATCAATAATTTCATTTGTTTTTCACTTTTTACTCAATTTTTTTTCAAAGTTTTTGTCAAAAACTTTGATTTCCTTAAAAACGAAAAAAAAATTTTTTTGTAAACTTTTTTCGACTTTTCAAAAAAAATTTTTCTTAAAAATTTTCTTGATTTTTTCGATTTTTTTTTGATAATGAATTTTTAAAAAACAAAAAATTTAGTAAAAAGTGAAAAACAAATGAAATTATTGATTTTTGAATGGATTAGGGTGAGTTTAAGGGACAAAAACCTTGTTTCCTTATTTTTTCCAAAATTTCAATCAATTGGTCCGGGAAAAACCGTTGAACCGATCGCTCCAGGGATTTAGGGGGTTCTTTAAGGAACAATAGACTGTAAAATTTTCCTCAAACCTTAGCTTTCTCGCCCATATTAGCGAAGATACAGCCAAGTAACCAAAAAAGGAGAAAAAGTCACTTTTTTCCACTTTTTTCAATTCAATGTTAGAGGTGGAAAAAAAATTTTTCTTCACTAACTCTTGACTGTGCTTAATTGGAAATTTTATGTAGATAAAGAAACTCGGCGCCCGCTTGCTGTGCGACCAGTAGTTCCAGAGATATTAGCAGTTGAATGGAAAAGGATGCTTTTGCATTCAAAGTTCGATATCTCGGAGACAAATGGTCGTAATTGAGCCATCCAAAGCGATTTTTGAAGCTGAATAAACACGCTAAGAGACCTATACAATGGAGTAGCTCGAAAAAATTTTTCCATGCCCATAGAGTGAAAAACGAAACCTAGAAAATTTAGAAAAAAAATATTTTCAGCTTTGTTTAAGAATTGTATGGAAACCGGAGCTCAAAAAATTTTTTCACCAAAAAATCTGAAAACTAGAGTTTTCAAGCTTAAAAACCCTTTTTTTAAATTTCCTGTACGATTATTTTTCACTGAAATACAGCCTGTTGAAAATCACCCAAAAATTTCAAAAATTTTTATGTTCCCTTAATTTTTGCGAGGAGTGTATTATAAATTTTGTATTATAATTAATGATCTATAAATTAATATTTTAGAGAAATTGTCAAAGTATTTTAATTGGATGAAGTGCCGTGTTCGTAATTCACTGTTCATCCCAAAGAAGGTTCATCCCAAAGGTTGACTTGTAGAGAATGTTACCAGTAGTCCGCCTTTGTACCATTTTTTTGTTCAATAAAGTTATTTAAAAAGAAAAAAAAAAAACTAGACATTAAAGAATGGTGCCTCAGAATCATATCATTTTATATTTTGTATAATTTCAGTAATCTTGGCATGTCTCTTTGTCGAATTTTTGAGTTAATTGATTGTATCTATATTATTTAATATTCTCTTGATTAATTTTGTATTTGCTAAATATGTAAAATATAAAGAAATAATTTAAGATTTTGTTCCACAAAAAAAAAAAAAAATCAATTGTGGCAAAAACCAGTTATTTTGCCGTATAAATTACTGAACTGATTTTGACAAAATTTCTACCGACCGATCTGAAAGTATATTCTTTTAGATAAAAAAGAATTTTCCAACAATGATGGAATTATGAGGTAATAATCATAAAAAATAAACCGAATTGAGAACCTTTTAAGTCCATTGAAAAACAGGTTACAACTTTAGGTACTAAAAATTCGTAAAGCGGATAAATATTTATAAAGATTTTAATATAAATAACTATTACTTAGTTTTACACATAGATTTAGCATAACCACAGATAATATAATGTATGTAACATACTTAGGGTTTTACAAGTAATGCATTGAGGTTTTACCTACAATTATATGTATTTTAAAATGTCAAACTTGACATGGATCATATGTTCATGACTGTTTTCGACAAAATAAAAGAACTATATTATACACTATAATTATATATTAAGAATTATATGATACTTTATGTATATAAAACGTATATTGACATGAGCGCATTATTGAATTGTGGTGTTTGTTGTTTTATCCTTAGTATATGGGGAGTTATACAGTTGGTGAATATGAATCATAATTATTCTGGTTTTGTAAAGTAGATAGTCTTTCATTTTTTATAGTAGATCGTAAACAAACATTCGGCCATTCTCCATTAGCAATCGCGATAGTCTAGTATAAAACAGGTCAGTATTTAATCTAGTACTTTTTTGATTAAGTACTTACTTATTCTATACTAGGCTTCTAGTATAAAATATCGAAACCGTTATCATCCTTTTAAGTCAGTATTCTATTTTGTAGTTTCTCAGACTAAAGAGTTGTTGTATTTTGTTATTTGTACTTAACTTTTTATATTCGTTATACCAGTTCTTACTTCTCCTGACGAATTCAGAGCTCGCACATTCGCCACAATTCAATGGAATTAAAAAAGGAGGAGGTTTTCAATACGATTGTATTTTTTTTTATATATATTATTCCTGAACTCCGTCATTTATAAACAGATTTGAAAGTTCTTTTCTTTCTTTCGGATTGGTCCCATAGAAATTGTGTCAAAATCAGCATAGTAATTTAGTTTTCAAATCGAAATAACGGGTCTTGCTATGATTGACGACGGTGTTTTTTTTTATGGAACAGTATCTTAAATATCAATTGACACATCTAATTTTTAAGTGAAATAAAACTGTTATGAAATATATCTATATCCACAGGCACTAATGGGTATATTTTATAAAATCGAAACTCCAATGTTGATTGAGGACGTTGAAGAGCATGTATATGATGATTATGACGACTTTATAAAGAAGACTAAAAAGAATTATCAGGCGGTTCGTATGATTAGGTTTGCTTAATTATCAAGAGGTCGGAGGAATTGTTTAAAGGCATTATTATTATTCCTTTGTCGTGGATGTACGTGACATGTTTTCATACAAGTGAGGTACCATGCCATGCTATGGCAATTTATAAACGCTTCGGTTTACCTTAACGTATCATTACAATAGGTACGAACTTTTAATATCCAGTCACATTCATATACCTTTATGAGGATTTGTACGTCCTTATACCAAACATATGATTAATTTTGGGGCTGTTAGGTTTGAGACTAGATGGCGCTGTATGATGTTTTTTTTTAATGTGTGAAAATGGCATGGCAACCCCGCCTGCGCTATCAGTATACGTTGGCGGGGTACCAGTGACGATGAAAAGGCAGGTCTGTTAGCCCATCGTGACGAATTCAACGATAAATTAGTCACGATAATTTCCAGGGGGAACCGCTGTATGATGTGGCCACCACTTAGATTGTGAAATACTTTATACTAAATCTACGGGCCAGCGATATTTCTGATTTGTCTTATTTAGTTTAAGAATTATTAAGTAAGATTTTTTCATACGTTATACAATAAAAATGGATTGGTAACCCCGCCTCCGCCATCGATATACAGTAATGGGGTACCAGTGAGGGTTGATAGATGAAGATGAAACGAGATCAGTTGGTTGATTGTGATATTTCACCAGTAGTTAACCAAGATAGTTTCCAGGATAAACTGTGTGGAGATACACCTGATACTCTTTATTGCTACAAAAGGAGTTTTTTAATTGCTAAAAATTTAGATTGTCCTAAACATTTATTTACATGTTTATTTTTTAATCATTTATTCAATTATTTATTTATAAACATGATAAATGTGTAACTAATTATATTTTCTGTTGAAGAATGCTCTTAACTGTTGGATTGCAACTGCAATATATGCATTGATGATCGGAATTTCCTATATATGTATCCGTAAGGCACGTAGTAACGAAAAAAAAGCAAAGGAAGAACTGGAAGATGATGACTACTACTGCACACATCGCAATCGTTAATTGCAATGATATGTTTTTATAACTTAGTAGGTACATAGTGTATTAAATAAAGTAACATTGCCTCACTGTTTTATAAGTTTTTATGAAAATTGGAAATCATCAATAATAGTCCTTATAAAAATTTGCGCTACTTGCTAATTTTAATCATCTTCCATTAATTTAATATCAATATTTTAAATTAATGGACTGAACATATATAAATCTTATCACCAATTTGAAGCATTTTCATCAGCTTTTTCAAACGCATTTAATAGCTAAAGCAGCCCATTGCTTTACTTGTGATTTGTTTCTAGTAACCTTTATTCTACTGTAATATTATAGGGAGAATATGGGCATAATTATTCTAATATTATATAATTTCAATATCTAAATGTTGAAATTATATTTATTACCTAAGTACGAAATATAAATTAAAATACGAGTTGAACGGTTTCTATTCAACAATGTAATCGGTATTTATTATATGGGTATGTGTCGTATTAACTATATTACTTCTTCTAATTTCCTATCAAATGTTACTGTACCAATGTTCACACTTTTTATATCTTCTTTGCTGATTTTCTCTGATTTTTCCTGTAATGCAATGGTTTAAAATTATGCGGAGAAAACACATAAAAACAGAAATATCAGAACTTTGTTTTCTTCAACATACTTGTACCTAAGTAATTGCTGTTCTTTAATATACTTTTGAATTGATTTCTTCAAACACGTCTTTGCCTGTGGTAACCCTTTAAAGAGACGACAGCGAGTCTTGCATTAATTCTGTTTGTTAACGATATTATTCATCACCGGAGAACTCTCCGGTAATGGATTTTGGACTAATTAAAAATTTAAATTGACAGTTTCAACTAACTAGTCCAAACGTAAATTGACTCAGTTTTTGTTGGCCTGAATTTTTATACGCGATCTCAAAATAAAAACAGAAAAGCAGCACCTATTGTGCTACTGGTATATACTGGTGAAAATGTATACTTATCTTTGTAGATGAACGTAAATACAGGTCACAGGAATTAACCGCAATAATATTCAGGTGGATGTCTCGTAATCGTAAGAATACAGGCCAATAATAAACCAAGAAATATCATACCATTCAATACTCTGAGACTATCTTTATCTCTCATTATTATCTGGATTTTTCTAGATAGACCTTTAATTCACCTGTGTCATATCGACGTCGTTGTCTTTTGAGGACTGGTTGGGGTTGAGCCAGGGGTCGGCAAGAATCTGTGGTATCTTGACGCGCATCTTTAGAGGTGCCAAGACTTTGGTAATCAGTTTGCGGCATTCAGCCGACACTTTTGGTTCTCGAGGGAATGACACTTTGTTTTGGACTTGCTGCAAAATAGAAGTCCTACATTAAAAATAATAATGTTTATTGCGATGGAATACTTTCGTTATGATTTAAAATCCTGATTAAACTTATTAAATAAAAACTTTATTAGCAGTGACATCAGACTCGGGATCGTCTTCATCTACCTACGCGGAACGGGATGGGGTGCGTAAAAGCTACTGATTAAAAGATATATGAATATATGAAGCCAAATATTTGATATAATATTATTTCATTCTGCATTATTACACGTAGGTTGTATATTATCCGGCATTATTATTATTCTACAAGTATAAATGTATATATAGAAATATAAATACAAATTACTTGGTGGTGTAAAATGTAATTTATTACCTACGATTCAATATGTTCGACAAAATATGAGCATACTTCTATCGATAGATGATTTTTATAGTGATAATAGTGAAATAACCTCTGACTACTCGATCAAAGATTAGATATAGTCTAACAATTAAGATATTACCTTCAATAATTGTGTGTAATTCGTATCGTCAAATGGTAGACGTCCATACACTATAGCATAAAGCACCACTCCCATGCTCCATATATCCGAATCTTGTGGCCTATATGGAACGCCTTTTAGAATCTCTGGGGAGGCGTATGCGTAACTACCGCAAAAGGTTTCGCTTAGTGCATATACTCCGTTCTTTGGCTTCATATGACCCCGAGCAAATCCGAAGTCTGATAATTTTATATTCAGACCATGGTCCATTAGAAGGTTTTCGCATTTTATATCTCTGTTATTAACAAGGACATAAAATTTTGTTCAGTTGGCTTATAAATGTATTACAGTAGAATGTGCTTTCGCAAATACGCACCCACGGTCAACGAGGAACGTGACAGCAACATCCACCGTATTGTTTTTTCGGTTTCGGGTTTTTTGTGCGGTAGATATCATTTGTTATTTATTAGAGGGCAAAAGCTTAAACTATGAGATCAAATCCTAACCTATGACACCTCTGTGGTCACCTCTAATTGACGGCTATTTAGAAACAGTAGCAGACTAGTTGCATTGCATACACGACATTTTAAGTTCGGCTATTTTCAAAACTATTTAGAAAATCAGATCTTGTTTTGGATGACCTTAGAGATTTTTTTTGTTTGTATTTATTATTAAACTAGTTTAAGAGGGGTAAAAAAGGTACCTATTTTATTCTAAATCATGATAAGGCCAGATGGTTTAAAAGTGTAATGTATTTTTTTAAATAAATAAATAATAGTTAATAGTTGGGCTAATATGTGGATATCGGTACTTATACTAACATACGAATATTATTACATATAACTAAGGAATAAATAATAATTCAGGGATATTTTAGTGCCTATCTAAGCGTAGCTAGTAATATTCCCTAATTGTAGACAATTATATTTAAGTATACCTATGAACAACGCCTCGATCGTGGCAATAATCGACGGCTTCGACGAGCTGACGGAACCAGCGGCGACCACGAACTTCATCGATGTGCTGATCCTTACGAATTATGTCCAAAAGACTACCATTTTCGGCATATTCCATTACAATGTAGACTCTACGAGATAAGTTCTTGGAGTAATAACATATTTACAAACACTTGGAATTTCGATATATCTATTACCTGAATATGTTTTTTCTTTACTAATACTACGGTAAACAAATAACTATTAAATAATGAGTAGCTAGTTACTGTACCATCAATATTGAATAGATATTTAAAGAATTGGCAATGAAGATCAAGGAAACAGCACTAGATCATATATATTCGTAATATTTCGTAAATAAGTAACTAGTTAATATTTCTTTTGTTTTTTTTTCTCTTATCTGGTCTTCTTCTATCTCTTACCCTATTTCTCAAGGACCTCAATGTTACTGACATCTATGTGGACTCTTAATTTGAAGGAAATAATACACATTTAAAAAAGTTTATTAAAATCAGTTGAGTGATTTTGGAGACTAGTGAAAAATCACAGTATAAATAATACTTAGCATTTAGTAAAACGTTGTGACAGGATTATACTATCTATTTATAATAAAATTTAATTTAGAAATTAAAAGAAAATATTAAGTAATAAGAACCTGTGAGTAGTTTCGATTGCTTGTAAAAACCGTATTAAATTTTCATGTTTCAGTCCTTTTACTACTTCTATTTCTCTAGGCAAGAATTTTTTTAAATAATCGCCAGGTGCTTGAAACTTGCTTATTATTTTTATTGCTACTTGACAGTTATGTCTATCACTTGCAGCAACCTAGTATTAAAAATATGTATCTAGGTATTTAGTATACAAAATTAAATTTTATATTGGGTAACTGAATCCATGTACTTGTGTAAAATAATAAGGAAAACCTAAATACTTAATAGTAAGTGTGAATGAATGTATTATTTTATTTACTTATTACTTTCAATTTTTTATGTATAAAAGTTGGAAGGAAAATGTAGAATCTAGAAGACCAACTTGCCTTAACAGTGGCATATGAGCCAGACCCAATGGTCCTACCAAGCACATATCCATGAGTTTCAAGGACAGTTAGTTTTCTTTCTGTCTTAGCTTCCACGCCGCTATGTACAATCGCCGTGGGCTCTGTCGACATCTCACCGTAAACATTGTCATTGGCTCTAACATCCGGCCCCGGCATATCACACGTATTTTAGTTTAATGAAACCCAGTAAAAGTCACATTATATTAAATTTATCGACATGATTTATTTTTCAAGTGTTTTTGTGTTTCTAGTTATGCTGTCATTTTGTCAAAAGTGGTGTAATATTAATGATAATGACATACTGAGAAAGATTTGACTTTGAAATTATTTTTTGAAAAATAGATTATGTTATCGATTATCAACCAGTATTGATTATTTTTTCACCATTAAAAAAAAATTTAAGTTAATAGCAGTAATATATACGTATTTAAAATTATGCATCAATAGAGTAAAGATTTTTTTAAATTTTAGATATAATTTTCTGCTGATTGAAGACTTAATTGCGTTCGGATATTAAAAAGTTCCAACGTTCTTATATGAATCCAAACGGACTAAACGTCAAAGTCAAAAAGTAAATATTGTGCTAAAAATGGCGGCGAAACAATAACAAAATCCACAAAAACATTAAATTGCAGTCTATCTCATGTATCTGATATGAAACGACAGAGTGTTCATTAATTCTCGTTAAATATTAATAAATATATAATTTGTTATAACATTAAATCTTTACTATTTCTAATGGATGTTGTATAAAACAAAAGTTTTGCGTATCCTTGCAGTGACTGATCAAAATATACATTATATTATTCGTGCTGAATTTATATTCTAATTTTGTAACTGTTAACGTGAGATTAAATAAATAGACTTGCGTATTTCGGTAAATTGTTGGAGAGAACCATCATCGAGTATGTACTTCTCTGAATTTAATGCATGCAAGTGGTAGACATGTTTGTGCATTATTATTGTTTATATTTTGTTTAGATAACTGTACATAGTTGTTGAGTTGCTTGCTGAAGCCTATATTTGTGATAGAATAAATTTTAGTACTAATTTCATTATATAATGCAGATATTGTTGACACTTTTCTGTCCACTTCATAAAAGATCTGGTGTGAATATACTTGTTTATATAAAATTAGATCTCTACAAATAGAATCAAAGTAGTTAATTTCACACTTATATAGCCTAATTAGTTTGCATGTAAATGTTACATTTTGTACACAGAATTTATAATTTGATTTACCATTTTATACAATTACCTATCATGTTATCAAGGATTAATAAATATGTTAAATTTTATGAAAGTTAATTATTACAATTCATTACTTTCTAGTAAGATGCAAAATTTTGTATTATATGTGAACTTTTTCAATTATTTGTAGGTATTGTTCAGTTAAAATGATATATTTGATAATGTGGTGTGTATGAAATTAGATGCAGTACCATAATGGTGCTATTGAGCTGATCTGATAGTAAGTAGAAAGTGGAAATTAAAATTTATAACACTGCATAATATACACTAGGGCAAATGAGATGTGGCGATATTTTGCATCTGAAACCATTGAAAAATTGGTAATTTGTGTTTTCTGACAATACAAGCACTAAAAGCTTATTTTTAAGTGTTTTATTTTATTTGACATTACTTGAATATTTTTGGAATATTGAGTATAAATCGCTCGCAATGCTACAGTAAATCTATATGATATTGTATAGCACATATAAAACAAATAATAATGCAGTCATATTGAGAATCTGCTCTGTTTTGAATTTAGGTGTCTTTTTAATTTGTTTTTTGTGTACCCAAATACTTTATAAATTCTTTGAATGTCCCTTATAGATTATTGTTTTTAGTACTTTTAAAATTATAAATTTTTGATAGGTTTTAAAATGGAAAATAAATAATAGACACCACATTTTTTTTATTTTAGTCTCTTTTTTTTATTTTCTTTTTTTAATAAAAAATTAAACAAAAAAAATGTATACATTTTACAGTACTTATCATTTATTTTTGGATATTGTTTATTTGTACCACCCTATTGTGGTCAAATTTCAAATTCTAGGATAGACTTAATAAGAAATAGTGAGTATTATGATTGACTTATCCTAGTCTACCTTTGAATGTCTAAGAAGCATTGTGAAGTGCCAGAGAGAAAAGTGAACTAATGAAAAATAATAAAATACAGGCATTACTTTACATTACAATTACTTTTACAATGATACATGTATTCACTAATATGTACAATAAATAAGGAGGATTTTGGTGTTTATTTCTACATACAACAAATTAGTGGTAATAACATGGGAATAATTGTATTAATGTTGTAGTAATGTAGAACTAGATGGTGTTGTTCTATTAATATAATCCGACTAATATTATAAATGTGAAAGTTTGTAAAAGTGTTTGATAAATATAGTTAGATAAACCAAATTTATAGAATATTTGTATAAGTTACTTTTTAATAGATATTAATCGAATTGTGTTCTGTAAAACAAGATTTCAATTATAAAACCTGTTAGTTTGATTTAAAAACTAAATTATTGATCTGTTTTGATTAAATTTCTATGGGACCAATCAATAAGTATATCCTTTCAGATAAAAAAAAAATTTTAAATCGGTTTTCAAGTGATGGAGTTATGCCGTAACAAACATATAAAAAAATATAATAGAAAAGGAGGTTCTTACCTCTCATTTTAAGTCATTTGAAAATGGATTGTTAACTCTGTCTACACTTGCAGTATAACCTGGCGAGGTGTACCAATATGTGATGGTTGGTGAAGCTTTTCTTTACAATAGAATGGTAACCCCGCCTGCGCTAACGGCAACAGGGAAATAATGCCGGATAATAGGTAAGAATGATGTCAGATTTTGAGAATTTGACATGTCGTCCACGTAAGGACTAACTTTAGAAGTCCTACATCTTTTTTCTTCGAGATTGGGTGTGAAATTACAGTGTACCGAGATATCCTTCTGTAGCCTTCAGGAATGGTAGGTGATATTATGGCCACTGGTATTGTACGAACGTCCATGGTGCTGTTCATATCTATAGATATGAACAGCACCATGGATCTTCGTGTACGATCGTTGATACTTCGGTCTATAGGTCATTAGCCAGTTTGTCATTCCAAGTTATGCAGAGAAGTTGTCTTTCTATTCCGCAATGTTTACTAGGTATCGTTAAATTATATCTTATGTATAACAAGTGTCGTCAATGGTTAAAAGATAAGTACTTTATACTAAGTATATGATTAAGATTATATAACGTTATATGAGTGTGACTTGAGGCATTCAAGATGTGAACATGGAGGAGAATGGAAAAAAGTAATGATTGAGGATGTCTTGAAAAGGGTGAATAAGGAAAGAACATTAATAAAAATAATAGAGATTAGAAGAGGTAAAATGCTGTGACAACTTATACGACATGACATTTTTTTAAGTAGTAAGAGCATATTAGAAGGAAAAATAGGGAGTAAAAGAGGAAGGAGAAGACAGAGAAATAACTACATGGGTCAGATAAAGGTAAAACGAAGTGTCTTGTTGTAAAGAGAGGTCAAAGATATGGCCTGGTATAGAGCTGGCTGGAAGAGAATGCATGAGTTATTTGCCCCGACAAAAGGAAACTCTTAAATGAGAAGACAGAATAGTCATCAAGACGTAGCTGCATCATCCAATACTAGCGGATAAAATGTTTGCCCCAATTACAAATTTGTTGAAATTTGGAGTTGGGGCAAAGATTTTGATTATTCTGACAATTTTAGTGTCATAACAATTGCTACATGAACGACGTTGCCAGTACAACAAGTATTTAAAATAACAAAAATGTCTTTTTTGCAGTATGTTATAATTATATAAAATAAAATGGTTGGTATTTCTTGTTACTGAAACTAATGAATGAAATAGTGTTAGAGGCGATATTAATACTAATTACTGTCATATGATGGTCCGTAAATTGAGTTTTATACAAGGTGCATTTAGGTGCATAGAATTTCCAATATCTGTGACATTGAAAAGCTTTCTGAAAAATTTTGCAATGTGAATTGCACTGACAAAATTCTGTGTTAAAGCCCGATGCTTTTCGTCGATGGTAGAGAACAAAGAAAACAATTGCAGCGATTGTAGTTCGAGCTGGTCGTGCGAATCGTATCGTGAACGTCCCGTGCTAGATACCTTAACATTACCACGTATGTAGATCTCTCTCTGCACTCTGTTCACCTTAACAAACAATACGTAGTCAGCAGGTCAGGCTTCATTGGACACGTGCAATGCTTCATTCGATGACCTATTTTCGTACATTCGCTTCGTTTTTATTTGCTTTTATTCAGAAAACGTTTTTTCTAGTGTATATTCCTCAATGGTACCAGTCTTTTGTTACCGTAATTGGGTATTCTCTGTCTACTAGCTTTTATGTTATTAGATGTCGCGGGTTATTTAACATATGTACTGTCCGCTTTATTGTTGTTGGCAGACCATTTTGCGATGTTAGTTCAGAGTGCCTCCCTAATAGTTTTCTATAAACATTGACGTTTTTTTTTTTCCATCCAGCAAATATTTATCTATTTATATTATAAAGAAAATTGTAAAGAGAAGCTTTTGCATTTAAATCTCAGCAATGAAGTGACAGAATTTATTAAGAAAGTGGCATCCTTAATTAGGATTAACAGAAAAATGTGACCTTTTCAATTCATGAAAAAAGTATTTCTTTTCAAGTAGGTCTCCAAATATTCTGATGCTTAATTGCCAATTAATTCTTGCCCTTATTTCACTTTACACAGGGAATGCTTTTAAGTTGCAAACTTCGCAAGGTAACTAGATCAACTCACGTATCCGCGGGGTGTCACATCAAACAATTAAGAGTTTATCTCAAAGTTAGGTGCACGACGGCGATATATTGCAGACTTGATTACTTTTTTCCGCTCCGAACTAATAAAAGTTGACCAGGAAACTGGGATCTTGCAAGTTTCATTTTTAATTGAAACACTTGAGCCTTCGTAGGCAGTAAGTATTAAACCTATCTTTACAGTGTCATAAGTTTAACTACTTTATTCCATTACTCTTAGCTGCTAAGAGGAATGGGTATATCTATTTCTCTTACTAAGTTATGAAGACATAAGATGTTAGGGGAGAGCCTAAGTAGATAGGTATTTATATAGATACTTTAATGTCTATATACCTAGTAAGTATTTTTTTTTATACAACTTAGAATGGCAAACATAATAATGCGTCCGAGTTTTTTTTATTCTCAGCTGCAACTAAGGGTAAAAAAACAACTATTACAATTAGATTAACCATGCAGCTGTGCCTGTGATTTTGTTTAAGCTTGGGGATCTTAATAAGATGATAGCTATAATTGTTGAAAGACTTAAAGCTATTGTTAAAAAATATATATTCATACGATTGTTAATTGCTATCATAGTCTTTCAGTTTTGTGGTTTGTTAAAAATGTTGTCACTGGATAGTTAACTGGAAGTTTGTAGATATTTTTTTTTTGTGTAGACTACCTTAAAATCTACGACTTTAATAATAGAAAAATGAAAAAGAGAGTTTTTATTGTGATGGAGTTTATGAAATGCATTTACCTCAAGTCTTTATAGCCCTCTGGTATTTTAATTTTATTCAGATATACGGTTATATAGGCCACCTCTTCCTTTCCCGTGGGTGTCATAAGAAACGACTAAGGGAACTTAATGGTCGAGGGATGGGCAGCAGAATCCCTCTTAAGTCATCACCAAAAGGCTAACTGCGGTTGCCAACCCACTTGCCAAGTGTGGCAACTACTAGTAAAATCCCCCATATGAAGGAGGCCTATATTCAGCAGTGGACAGTTAATTGCTAATATGATGATGATGATACGGCTATACGTATTTATGAGTATGTTATGTTTTTCAATAATACTAGTAAATAAGTATCT